CACACACACACACACACACACACACACACATAGTTTAAAGGTGTAAAAGTAGGGATAGGAAATCAAAGACCAAAGCTGGGTGTGGTGGCAGCACCCATCTTTAATCCCAGCATTTGGGAGGCAAAGCCCAGCAGATCTCTGAGTTCAAGGCCATCCTGGTCCACATAGTGAGCACCAGGCCAGCTGGGGCTACAGGGAGACCTCATCATAGACAAAATTTTATATTAAGATGAAAAATAAAACTTATGGTCCTACTTTTAAGAAATCATCCAATAATTTAGAGGTATACAATTAAATATTCAGGGGGAAAGTGCCTAGAATTTGCTTTAAAATGACTTTAGATAATGGGTAGAATTATTTTTGGAGTTAGCTATTGGAAGGCTGGGGTATGGCTAGATGGTACAGCATATGCTTAGCAATGTCAGGCCATGGATTTGGTCCCCACACCCAAAAAAAAAGAGAAGAGAAAAGGAGAAGCTGGTATTTACTGAAGCTCAGTGATGGGTATATAAAGATATAGCAAGCATTTTATATTCTATATTTGGGTTTTCATTAACAAAAGATAAAAAGACGGGCACAGAATATGCCAAGCTGATATGAGCTTCTTCACCCCCAAGATTAGCAAACAGCAAATCTGATTATTTGTTTTTGAGAACATGGAAAACTGGGAACTCAAAAAATGGTACAGCATCAACTGGCTCAACTAGTTTGGAGGAGGCTTTGGCATCTTCTAGTAAAACTAAAGGTTTATATTATTTAGACCTCCTTGCCCCCTTTTAAGCTAAATCCTAGAAAATCTTTTTTATGGAACATGTACCAAAAAGGTCAAGGGGTCATTGCTTTTAGTAGCAAACAACTAGAAACTACCAAATATCCGTTTGTAGAATATGTGAGTCAACAGTCATTTATTTACCTAGTGGAATGAAAGGGAATTAGGAGGGAGGCACATCAACACAGATAAACCTCACAAATGTAGTAAACAAAGATAAACCTCACGAAGGAATACACATACTGTAATGCCAGCTGCATACAATAGCAAGTCATAAAATCAAACATGTTGCTGGGGTGCATACATCTGTAGAAACTTCAAACAGAAAAGCTAAAACTAAGTTCATATTCAAAATAGTGGTTATTTCTGGTGGGGACAAGGGGCTTGAAATTTAGGGCATGGAGGAAGCACATTAGGAATCAGGTTTCTTGGGCTGGCTGGTAGGAACAGGAGAATAATGCATAGTATCCCTTAGTCCCTTTGTATGCAACAAAAAATCCTAAGTTAAAAAGTGTCAGTAAAGGGGTGTGATAGGAGGAAAAGGCCCAGGTATACACTGGGAGAGACAGTGACATTCAGCTGAACACATTTGTTCTCACAGAAGCCTTGCTGGTCATGAGGAATACATTCTGATGCTGGACTGAAGATGCTGGTTCCTCAGTTCAAATGAAGACAGCCAGTGTCTCCACCATGGGCTGTCAGCGGGGTTTTGACTCACACCAAGGGCCAGAGTCCTGCATCGAGGCTTTCCTTCTCTCCATTTCCTTCCTCTGTGTATTCTGAATGGCTTCCAGGTTTGTTTTTTCATTTTCTTTTTGGTAGTGCTGAAGACCCAACCCAAGCCATCATACATGCTAAGCAAGTCCTCTAACAATGACTCCATTGGTAGTAGCCTTAGGTTTGCACTTTTAAAAAAGATTTACTTTATATTATTTTTCTTTGCTTATTTGTTTGAGGCAGGGTCTCCCTGTAGCCCCAGCTGAGCTGGAACTCATGATATAGACCAGGCTGGCTTTGAACTTGCAGAGATCCACCTGCTTCTGCCTCCCAAGTGCTAGGATTAAAAGCATGTACCACTATGCCGTTTTTTTTTTTTTTTTAACTGTGTGTGTGTGTGTGTGTGTGTGTGTGTGTAAACATGAGTACAGGTGTGCAAAGAGGCTAGAGGCATCAGACTCCCAAAGAACTGGAGATACAGGCTTTGTGAGCATTCCAATGTGGGTGCTAGGAACGGAACCTGGGTCTTCTAGACAAGGAGTACATACCCTTAACTGCTGAACCACTTCTCCAGCCACCTAGGTTTGTATTTTTGTTTTGTTTTGCTTTTTAGGTCTTTTTGAGAATGCTGGGATTAAAGGTGTATGCCACCATGCTCGGCCTAGGTTTGTATTTCTAATGACATTCATACAATAAGTAAAATTCAGTGCAGGGCTGAATGCACCTTTCATTCGGTTTGTGAAATGAGTCAATATCTTTAGGAAAGAGCAGCAGTAGTGAGTGTGGAGGACTTGATACCTATTGCCTTCTCCTGTTACATTCGCTTGCTATCTCTTCCTGGCTCCCCAGGCAACTGGGAAGAGTACCCAGGCTCTGGCCAGCAGCCTTGACTTCTAGCTCATCAATCAGGCTTGTCTCTCTTGAGAACCAGTGCCTATCTACCCAGTGTCTGATACCTGAAGACAGCGGTATGCTAGCTTCCTAACCAATTAAGCAGCAGGTGAGACACTGCTGACCCTCCTAGTATCACTGCCATCTCAGTTTCTGATTTCCTCATTGCCTTCCTGGGGGAGTCCCTGACTTCCTCCTGGCCTTTCAAGGGGAGTCCCCATCTTCCTCCTGGCTGGCCTTCTTGGGGGAGTCCCCATCTTCCTCCTGGCCTTCTTGTGGAGCCTGCAGTAATGGAAGCTGGTGTGCAATCTGATCCTGTGTTGTGTGTAAAGTGCAGTTGGCTCTGGCATCTATTGCCTCCTGTGGTATCTACTAGAATCTAAAGCCCAAGATAGGCTATTTCCAGCTTTTCTTCGGCTTTCTGGGTCCCACGAAGATTTAAGTATCAACTAAGTGTTTCCAGATCTGAAAGAGACCAAACAGAATCACAGAGCTTACCACTCTACCCAAAATCCAGCATCTGTTTCTCCCCAGCAGGCCTTTGCCTACTCAACATTTTTTATCATGTTTTTCCCCCACCCATTATTATATAATGTCCCTCTCCTTGATACACTTAACAGAATGCAATTCTTTCCTATTACTTTTTACCATTTTGCTCTACTAAACTGATGTCACTCCTGGCATCAGCACAGCAATTAGAGGACATGCCCAATGCAATTTCAGTGAGAACCTATTGCCATCACTACTACTACTTGCTAATATGAATTGAGGACGATGTGTACTAGGTCCTGCCTGTTATGAATTCTTGACAGGTGCCAGACCTGGTTCTGAACACTTCAGAATAGTGGGCCTGCTAGTCTAACTTTACAGTAATGGAGTCCTAATGAACAACAAGAACTCCAAGGTCCAGAGGAGCTAAGTAGCTTGCACAAGTAACTTCTCACAGGCCAACAGGTGAAGGTACCAGGGTACAAACCCAGTCAGTCACTCCTATGCTTCTTTCCACTGTTGGAGCTACAGAGGCTGTCTCCTAAAGGCCTCCTAGAGCAGACACTGGCTAACTCCCCACCCTCTTCTCCTTCCCATGTCTTACAGCGAATGACAGCTTCCTTGACTTGGTAAAAGCCACCATCCCGGCCTCTGCCATCCACGTAGTACATGAATCGGAGTTCAGGAGGGTAGGCAGCTCGGGTCAGGCCTGACAGCAAGGGGATGGTGCAGCCCTCGGCCCCTGGTGCCTCTGTCAGGGCCTGCAGCATCTGATACTTGCACCAAGGGTCCTGAAGGAAGCCTGGGGTGATGAACAGCACACGACAGTGGCTACTGCTCAGCGCCTGGCATAGCTCAGACACAATGGCCCCACCTGGGGTAGCATCCCGAAGCTGCAGGAAGCAGCGAAGCCTGGCAGTGCTACCCTCTAGGTAGGAGACCAGCTCCTGGGCAGCCGCCAGGTCCTCCTCACTGTGGCACACGCAGACGTCGTAGTCTTTGCTCCAGCGGCCACTACTGCTGGTGTCTGCGTGTGTTGGTGATGAGGTGCAAGACATGACTGAGCTGAGGCTTGGGGGTGAGCTGAGGCTTGGTGAGCTGAGTTGTGAGGGTGGGAGAACATCCTGTGAAGCCATCTGTGAGCCGTCATTGGAGGGGCTTTCCCAGAAGGCTGGTGTCTTCTTGGGTTTCTTCAATAGAGCCTGCCTGAACCAGTCTGTGGAGGAGAAATACTGCACTGAGTTTGGATGCATTCTCACTGAAGCCCCTCCCCCAAGAAGAATGAGGGGGACTCTAGCCAGCTTCAACTCCAGCTGCTTTTGTCTATCCTCAGGCCTTGCCTAAGAGTTCCTATCTTTAAAGTATCCCAGATACCATAGCCGGGCATGGTGGCACACACCTTTAATCCCAGCACTTGGGAGGCTGAGGCAGGCGGATATTTGTGAGTTCAAGGCCCCAGGACAGCTGGGGCTACAGGGAGACCTTGTCTCAAAAAGACAAAGAAAAAAAAAGGTTCCCAGATACCGAGTGAACACTTGAATCCTGTGAGGGGTGTTTCGGCTTTAGCCAGGTGAGGTGGCCTTAGCCAGGTGAGGTAGTCTTAGTTGAGGGGAGGTGGTGCCTGTAATCCTAGCAATCCAGGAGGCTGAAACAGGGAGGGGTGGGTCATGTAAGGCCAGTCTGGGCAACACAGGGATTCCCTTCTTGAAAATAAAATAAACAATTTTTTTTTTTCGGTCTTTTTGAGACAGGGTCTCCCTGTAGCCCCAGCTGTCCTGGAACTCACTATGTAGACCAGGCTGGCCTTGAACTCACAGAGATCCGCATAAACATTTTTAATAAAGTAATTATTAATAAATTATAAATTAAATAAATGAAACATGGGTGGTGACTTTGTCCTGCTCCAGATCATTTGAAATCTGATATGCCCAGCCCACTTTAAGCAGAAGGATCCACTCCCACTGAGTAGTCAGGCATCTGTGTGTAGAAGGAGAACCATGTGTGCAGAAAAGTATTAGGCAGGCCCAAAGTATGCCTGTAGCCCTGCCAGGAGGTGAGTTTAGATTAGGGTAAGAATTGAAAGGGCCAGGGAAGTTGGGCACAGTGATGTATGTCTGTAACCCCAGCCCTTAGGAGATAAAGGCAGAGGATCAAGGTCATCTGCAACTACAATGGCAAGTTCAAGGCAACCTGGGTTAAAATAAATAAGAAGGCCCAGGGAGCTGGAATCTGTTCTGTTGTTCAGTGTCCCAGAGCTATTGGTCAGAGTTCCTGAGGAGCACAGAACTTGGTACTTCAGAAGCCATGCTTTGGTCAGACACTAGATTTGCATGTATACCTGCCACGTCTCTTTCTCTATGACCTTAAGCAAGTTGGTCTACATTTCCATTTGCCTACCTATAAAATGGGTTAATTTAGTTCTTCAAGGTGAACAGAGACAATGCAAGCCTGGGATATTGTAAGTACCCCATAATATCAAAACTCAGCTTCTATGGGGATTGATTGTTTTTCTCTCTTTCCTTATTTCCTTCCTCTGAATGGTTGTAGAAAAAGATTTAGATGACAAGAGACACCATGTTAAGTAGTCAACATACTGTTTCTTAGGCTAAGCAGGCCCAAAAACATTTTAAACAAAGGCCTGCACAGTCTATCAAGCACACCTCCCTCTTCCCTTCCACAAAGCCCCTGGCCATGAATCACGTTTTGCTGCCCGACCCTGCGCCAGTCCCCACTCACCAGCTATCTTGCTCTGAGGCTTCTTGGCCTGGGTGGGAGCTGCTGGTGGGGAGGAGGATGAAGCCATAGTGCTGGGCTCCAAAGAAACCAGGTGAGAGCAGCATTGGGGAAGCAGCAGGAGGGGAGGGAGCCGGTCATGACCTCATAGAACAGCCATCCTACAAGGGAGAGAGAACCACCAAAGCTGTTCCTATCTGGAAGTTCTGCTTCCCTAGTTCCTAGTGGCTCAGTCTCTAAACAGGTCCTAATCATAGAACCAGGGAGAGACACTGCCAGATCTGAGTGTGATCACACTTACAGGGTACAAGCTCAGTTGAGTGACTGTTCTCTGCTCTACCTGGTCAGGAGTACATTTGCGATCTGGGAAAATGCAGGTGGCAGGCAGCTCTTTAGAGGGACTTCTTGTGTCAATACCACAATGGAAGAAAGACTGCTATGTGAGCAGTTGACAAGCAGTAGTCCTACTAGACTTCCTCCAAGTCTGTCTTTGTCTGAATAACCCCAGCCATCCACCCACCCAGCCCTCACCTGGCAGCTAGGGAAACAACATCACAATGTGAAAGCTGCAGATTGCAGGCAGAGTGCTTGGATTCTCACTTCATGCTGACCATTCCCTTCGACGGTCTTGCTAGACTTCAGTGTCCCCATCTGTGAAATGGAATTCTATAATGCTAGAAACTGCAACTCAGCATTACCATAAGAATAATGTGAGATAATTTATACAAAGTACTAATAATATCTGGAGTATAAAAAATGCTAAGAAAATATTGTGGGTTAGTAGTCTTTAAAATAATCTAGCCAGATGTGGTAGCACATACTTGTGGTCCCACCTTTTCACAGGAGGCAGAGGCAGGAGGATCACTTAAGTCTATAAATTTGAGACTAACCTAGGCAATCTATTGGGACTCTATCTTTTTTTTTTTTTTTTTTTTTGGTTTTTTTGAGACAGGGTCTCCCTGTAGCCCCAGCTGTCCTGGAACTCACTGTGTAGACCAGGTTGGCCTTGAACTCACAGAGATCCACCTGCCTCTGCCTCCCAAGTGCTGGGACTACAGGTGTGCACCACCACACCCGGTTGAGACTCTATCTTAAAAGAAAAAAGGGGGCTAGAGAGATGGCTCAGCAGTTAAGAGCATTTTCTGTTCTTGCAGAGGACCTGGGTTCAGTTCCTACCACCAACATGGTAACTAGCAACTGTCCTTAACTCCTGTTTCAGGAGACCCAATGCTCTCTTCTGGCCTCTGTGGACACTGCACACATGTAGTGGTACATTTACATACATGCAAGCAAACACACATACACATTTTTTAAAAAGTAGCCAGGTGTGGTGGCACACACCTGTAATCCCAGCACTCAGAGGCAGAGACAAGAGGATTGCTGCCAGTTTGAGCCAGCCCAGCCTGGGCTACATAGTGAATTCCAGGCCACTTAGGGATACATAATAAGACCCTATCTCAAATAATCTAGATATGGGAGGGAGCTTAGTCCTCAGTACTTTTAAAACTCAACCCTCGGAGAGATGGCTCAGCGGTTAAGAACACTGGCTGTTCTTGCAGAAGACCAGGGTTCGAATCCCAGCACCCACATGGCAGCTAACAACTGTCTGTAACTCCAAGTCCAGAGGATCCGACAGCCTTTTCTGTCTTCCGGGGGCACTGCATGACACGGGTGCAGTTACCTACATACATGTAATACATGCATACACATAAAATAAAAATAATAAAAATAATAAAAACAACAAAAAACTCAACCCTCATTACTTGAATTTAGTCCTTAGTACTTAAAAATTTAAATTTATTGTTATTATGTATATGATATGTGGGGTGCATGGTGTGCCACAGCACAGGTGAGGAAGTCAGAAGACAACTTTGAGGAGCAAGCTCTTTTCTTCTACCATGGGTTCTAGAGATGGAACTCGGGTCTTCAGGGTTGTACAGCAAGCATTTTTACTCATTAAGCCATCTTGCCTTAGATATAGGAGGGATATGTTTGTTTTATAAGACTCCATATTATGGAATTCATTTTCCCAAAACCAATAGTCAATTCAATGCTGTTTCTGATTCCAGAAGGTTTCTTGTTTTTGGATTTTGGTGTAGAGGTTATCAAATTGCTCTAGAATTTGTATGACAATGCTAAGGACCAGGAATACCTTAGATGGGTGAGTTGCTACATTCTCTTCCCACTGTAAGGATGGGATAGCTCTGATGCTGAAGGCTCTCTTAGCTTTGGTTTGGGGGAGAGGACTATGTGGGATAGAGTCTGTTCCAATGCAGGGGAGCCCTAGCATTCTATGGGGGTCTTCTCCAGCTGAAGAGCTGGTCAAGAGCTGGGCTTTGGCAGTGTGAGAGATGAGCAGAGGGCTGTTTTCTCACTCTGCTGGATCTGCAAGGTCAAAATAAGGTTCCCTCTGGGAAGTCACACAGAAACAAATTTGATGATTAGACACACTTCAATTAGAGGTTTCAAATTTTAAATTGTGTTAGTCTATGGATATTAATGAACATCTATCACAGTTCAAAAACCTTAAACTGTGCAGTGTGGTGGTACATGCCTTTAATCCTAGCACTCAGGAGGCAAGGGCAGGTGGATCTCTGTGAATTCCAGACCAGCCAGAACCACAGAGTGAGACCCTGTTTCAAAAAACAAAACAAAACAAACAAAAATTTATACTGCAGGGGCTGGACAGATAGCTCAGCAGTTAAGAGCACTAGCTGCTCTTTCAGAGACCCTGAATTCAGTTCCTAGCACCCACAGGGCAGCTAACAACTGCTTATAACTCCAGTTCTAGGGGAGCCAACACCCTCTTCTGGCCTCACAGGCATTGCACAACATGGGTGTACTTATAAACATGCAGGCAAAACACTAATGCACATAAAAAATAACAATGAAATTTAAAAACCTTACACTGCAGCAAAACAACAGAGGTGTGTGATGGTCTTAATTGCCAGCTTGATTGGAATGAGAAATGCCTAGGGAACTATAAGATGCTCCTGTGTATCTGTGAGGGTGCTTACAGAAATGAGTATAAGGAGAATTCTGTTGAGGCCATTGGATCAGTCCATTGATGGCTTTATGGTCTGATAGCATTACTACGAAAGGTAGCATGTATGGCCTAGTTGGAAGAAGCAGGTCACTGCAGGTTAGGTTCAGTACTTGGGGATAGATCTTGCCCTGGCCGCTTCCTGTACCCTCTCTCTCTGCCTCCTGGTGCCATGACATGAACTGCTCTGCTCCACCACACCTTCCCCACCATGATGGATTAAACTTTCTGAAACTGTGAGCCAAAGGAAATCTTTCCTTAAGTTGTTCTCTTGGGTATTTGTCTGAATAATGCAGGGCAAAAAGAAGAGGAGGAAATGAGTGCTTCCTTCAGAGAAGATACTTGAAGGAGAAAAGCAGTTCCCTGCTAGATTACACAGGAGGAACCTAAAGCGGGCTGCTCCTGTGGAGAGAGTTTCCTTTCTTTCTCAAATCCTTTGGGCTTCTGACAACCTAAGTAGAAGGCTGCAGTTATGCAATGCCTCATACCCTATAGGTTTTGAAATCCTTTTCCTGGTCAGGGGCTGCTGTCTCTCTGCATCCTCATGAAACCATTCAAGATGCCTTTTCTCCTGGCAGTAAACATAAGGTCACTTAGTTTGGGTATTCCGCAAAAATTTTCTTGATTTTTGCTTTAATATAAAATTTATTATTTGGCCTCAATACAAACTGGAGAATCATTTCATTTTTAAAAAATTATGATATTCTGGGGCTGGAGAGACGGCTCAGCGGTTAAGAACACTGACTGTTCTTGCAGAAGACCCGGGTTTGAATCCCAGCACCCACATGGCAGCTAACAGCTGTCTATAACTCCAGTTCCAGGGGATCCGACAACAGCCTCTTCTGTCTTCTGCGGGCATTGCACAACATGGGTGCACTTACCTACATGCAGGCAATACACACATACACATAAAATAAAAATAAATAAAGAAAATATTTTTAAAAATTATGATATTCTAAAGTTTAAAACTAGTATGGAGACAAAAAAATAACAAGATATTCTACTTAATATATGTACTACTTTTCTGTTGCTGTGATAAAGCACCATGACCAATGCAACTTAGAGAAGGAAGAGTTTAGTTGAGTTTCTAGTTCCAGAGGGATAAGAGTGCATCATGGTGGGGCAAGCATGGCAGGAGGCAGCTGGAGCAGAAAGCTGAGGACTCACATCTTCAAACACACAGAGGAGGCAGAGACTGGAAGTGGGGCAAGGTTATAGACTCTCAAACCTTTAGGGGATGTGACCTTGCTGGAGGATGTATTTCACGTGACAGCAAGGTCACACCCTCTAAAGGTTCCATAATCTTCCCCAAATAGTGCCATCGACTGACAAAAGTGTTAAAATACTTGGAACTTATGGCAGACAATCTCATTCAAACTACTACTATATATAGAAGTAAGTTTTATGAAATAGGGCTGGGGTATAGCTTAGTGGTAGAGCATTTGCTTAGCACATGTAAAGCCCTGGTTCAATCCTCAGTACTGCAAAAATAACACACACACACACACACACACACACACACACACGTGTGCGCGCGCGCACAAAGGAGGAAGAAGAGGGTTAGGGAGAAGAAGAGGAAGGGGAGGAGAAAGAAAGAAAAGAAGAAAGTTTTATGAAACACTTGCCCTTTTGACAATACATCTTGATTTGGGTATTGACACTTTTATTGCTTAAGAAGAAATCCAGGGATAGGGGTGTAGCTCAGTGGTACAGTGCTTGCTTCACATACATAAGATGAAGTCTTGCACTGGACCCCTAGCAGTTTAGGGGTGGGGAGAAGGGAAAAAAAGAAAGGAGGAGGAGGAGGACGGGGTGGGGAGGAGGAGTGGGAGGAGGAGCGGGGGGAGACGGTGGGAGAGGAAGAAGAGGGGAAGGAGGAGGAGGAAGAGAAGAAGGAAAAACAATCCAATTGTCTTCAATAGCATATACCACTGGAAGCTGGGCGATAAAAGCCCTTGAAAATTATAAGCATAGGAAATAATAACATCTCTGACAGGATAATTAAGCAAGATGGCAGATAAGTTCCAGTTACCACATCCTTCCCGGAATCTGAAACCTCATGTACCTTCCTTCTTCATTCTAAGTTCTTATTCAGCCAGGGCTGTGGGCAATCACTCAAACATGACATAATTTTTCCAAGACTTAGTAACAGTCAGCACATAGCAAGAAGGTCTATTTCTGATTTGCTGTGTGGCCTCATAAGTACTCATTGTTTCTTACACTTAAAAAAATTCATAAAATAGACATGTGCCTTAAATTCCCACTTCACAGAGAATGACAAAGGCTTGAAAGAAAATTAGTAAGGAGCTCCTTGGAAAAAGAACCAGCATGGGGCTGGAGAGATGACTCAGTGGTTAAGAGCACTGACTGCTCTTGCAGAGCCCCCACATGGCAGCTAAGAAATGTCCTTAACTCCAGTTCCAGGGGCCCTCTTCTGACTTCAGGGCATTGCATGACATGGGTGCACTCACATACATGTAAGCAATACACTCATACACTTTAAAAAAAAAAAAAAGAAAGAAAGAAAGAACCAGCATGAGAGCTGAGTGTGGTGGTACATGCTTATAAAACCTGCACTACTGAAACAGGAGGATCAGTGCAAGTTCAAGGCCAGCCTGGGCTACACTGTGAATTCCAGGCCAGGACGGGCTATAAATTGAAACTCTGCCTCAACAAAACAAAACAAAACAGATAAAACTCATACAACATAAAAAATAAAAACAAATGAACCCACCAAAAAGCCATTGATACTCCTGGATATTTTATTTGTGTCTTTATGTGTATGTGTGTTTTGTCTTATGTATATGTGTACTACATGCATGCAGTGCCCACAGAGACCAGAAGAGAGGGTGTCAGGTACCCTACCCTGGTCCTCTGCAAGAGCAGCAAGTGCTCTTAACTCTTGAGTCATTTCTTCAGTCCCACCCTCTGGAGATTCTTACTGGATTCAGAAGGAAAGCGCAGCTATCAAGTTTCATGAGCTTCCCATGAAATTCTGATACATGGAGGCACTAGTCTAGATGTTAAAGTATAGACATATATGTGTACATATATGCACATGACACTTCTTGTGAGTATGTATATATATTTATTTAAAGATTTATTGATCATTTTGTTTCTTTTCTAAAATGTTATTGTTTTTATTTTATGTGTATGAATGAGTGTTTTGCCTGCATATATGTAAGTACACCATGGGTATGCAATGCCCAGAGGCCAGCTCTAGGGTGTCGGGTCCCCTGGAACTGGAGTTAGGGATGGTTGTTAGCTGCCATGTGGGCACTAGGAATCAAACCCAGGTCCTCTGGAAGAATAGCAAGTGTTCTTAACCAACTTTCCAACATATATATATATATATACACACACATATATATATTATTTTTTTTTGAGACAGGATCTCACTATGTATCTAGGCTGGCTTCAAATTTGCAATCCTGCTTCAGCCTCCCAAGGGCTAGGGTTACAAGTGTGTGATGTTACATCTGGTTATCTATCTATCTATCTATCTATCTATCTATCTATCTATCTATCTATCATCTATCTACTTTCTTTTAGCTGCCATGTGGGTGCTGGGATTCGAACCTGGGTCTTCTGCAAGAACAACCAGTGTTCTTAACCGCCAGCCATCTCTCCAGCCCTAATTTTCACTTTTAAAAGACAGGGTCTCCCTGTAGCCCTAGCTGGCCTGGAAGTCAGTATGGAGACCAGGCTGACCTCAATGTCACAGAAATCCACCCGCCTCTGCCTCCTTGGTGTTGGGACTAGAGTTATGCACCACCATACTTGGTAAACAAAGATTTTTTTTTTCCAAACTTGATTCAAATAATACAAGGGGAAAATGGCATGAAGACTTCTGTTCCAAAGACATTAGGAGAACAAAGGAACAATCCACTGAGAAAGAGAAAATGTCTAAAAATGCATATTTAGCAAATGTTTTAAATCCTCAATATATCAAGAACTCACATGAACTATTAAGAGACACAAATGGGCTGAAGACTTGAACAGACACTTCACAAAAAGGATATTGAAATGACCAACAGACAAAAAGATGCTTAACTCCTTAGTCCTCAGAGAAATGCAAATTCAAACCTCAGGGCATCAAGGCTGTGCACTCACAGCTACAGAAGAAAGAGAAGGGTGGGCTGCAGCCTGGTAAGGATGTAGAGGACAGACCCGCACACTCTGATGCTTGGAGTAAAACTGCCACAACTGTTTCTGGTTTGTTTTCAGATGGGGTCTCACTGCGTGCCCTGGCCAGCTTGAACTCATGATCTTCCCAACTGTGCCTGCAGAGAGCTGAGATTACAGGTGTGTGTCACGATACCATACTATCTACTAAAATTGAACATATACACACCCATGTGTTCATACACAAAACACACACTAATTACAGCCCAGAGCTGAAAACAACCACATCTAGTAGTGGATCAATGATATGCAGCCCAGCCTTCCATCAGAATACTATAATCAACCAGCATGAATGAATGAATTACTGCTAAACCCAACATGGGTGAATCTCATAGAACACTGAGTGCACAGCGCATGGGAGCACACAAGATCTAAGTTCAAGGGTCAAAAGTCTAACATTTTATGGCATTAGAAGCCAGGATAGTGGTCACCGTCAGGGGTAGGTGGTGATGGAAGTGGCATAAGAGGCCTCTGGGATGGTAGTAATCCTTACTTACTGTTCTGGATGCAGACTGCACAAGAATGCCTGTGGAAAAGGTGTTCGGCAGGACTCTCAGGATCTGTGTACTTTGCCATTTGTTTCTATGTATTGTTTCTTTAAAGTCTAAAAACAAAGACAAGGCTTCCTGAGTCATTCCAGGGTAGGTGTCTCAGCTGGGGCACTGCCTACTTCCCCTCCCTTAGTGGCAGGTTTGTGGTTTCCAGTTTACCTGCCACTATGAGGACCAAAGGACAGAACATTTCCTGCTCTGCTGTGTGTGTCCTTTTGGGACTTGGCACCCTGGTGGTCCCTGGTGGGTGTTCATTAAATAACTGTGATAGTAACGCCCAGGGCGTCCTTAAATCTAAGCAGGACGATAAGTATTCTTGAACACTGCTTAAGTGGCCCGGCCTGGGAGCTGGAGACAGACTTGTGACCGGAGCAGAGAAGGTAAGGACGGAAACGGCCTGACCGAGAGTAGATGTCCCGCCGCTGGCTTCGGTCGCCACCCAAAGGTGACAACTTTCCGGAAGGTGCAGGAGGAGGCCGGATGGAAGTCGGCGGACGCGGTCTGGGGACAGAGGTGGCTCGGAGTGCGCGGGACCGCGGCCCACCCCGGGGCCCTCCGCCGCCCGCCGGGTCCCCACTGCTCACTCACCTGCGCGGCCCGGCCCGCGGTGCGGGAAGCAGACTCGGGGACGCGCCCCGCCCGGTTCCGGAAGCGCCGCGGCCGGCCTCCTACCCTGTCAGTCCCGACCCTAGGAGGCGCTCGTCGACCTCGGAAGCCTCCTTGGGGTTGGGGATGCTGGTCTCGGCGCGAACCCGCGGGGGCCGCAGCTGAACCCTTAGGCCCGAGTTCCCCGAGGCCACCCGGAGCCCCTGCGCCCCACATGGTTCCGGGAGGTAACCAAGGAGAGAATCCAGCACGGGAGGGCAAGCCTTGTTTTCTTCCACACGGTTGAAGAAAATGAAGCTTTCCCCCAAAGTTCACACAGGGTAAGTTAAATGGTACTAAGGCGAGAGCCAGGGCAGCAACTCGGGTGTACCTCCAAGAACCCTGGCAGCTGTGGGTTCCACAAATGCCCACGGGCTGGAAGCAGCTCATCTTCCTTAAAATGCTTGTCCTTCCCGGCAGCGATTCCCAAAGGGACATTAAACTACAGTTCTGAAGGACATCAAAGGGACCCCTGCAAAAAGGGTGATTAGGCAAGATGTTGGCAAGTCCCGATTAAACAAAGTCAAGTGATTCCTTTGCCTCCACTTCCTAGAACTCTTGAGCCATGAGCATTTTGAAGCATATTGCATTTCCCAAGCTTATGTCACCATAGAAGCGTTAAAGACACCAGGCAGGCAGAGTAACACAAGCCTTTAAATCCCAGCACTCAAGAGGCAGAGGCAGAGGCAGAGGAGGACAGATCTCTGGAAGATCAAGGGCAGCCTGGTGTACATAGTGTTCCAGGCCAGCTCGGGTTTCAGGGATACCCTGTTTTGAGGGGGGGAGGGGAGAGAGAGAGAGAGAGAGAGAGAGAGAGAGAGAGAGAGAGAGAGAGAGAGAGAGAGAGAGAGAGAGAGAGAGAGAGAGAGAGAGAGAGAGAGAGAGAGAGACAGAGACAGAGACAGAGACAGAAACACCTAAAAACTGCACATGAAATGATGGGCAGATGGGGGTAGTTTAAGGGACTGATGTAAGAGTCCTCATCTCCCCTGTAGTCTATTTCTTTATTCTCCAGCCAGCCGAAACGGATGAACTTGTTTTGATTTTTGTGCTATGGGGTTGTTTTATACATGATCTAAGTTCATTTATTAAAATGACAGCCTGTGGTTGCTGGTATTGTAAGGAACAGGTGAGAGTATTCATAAGGACTGCAGGACACCTAGAAGGTGCCCACACACTCAGTGAAGTTTTGCTTTTGCTGCTTGATGGTGTCCGGTGTCGTGTGTGTGTGTGTGTGTGTGTGTGTGTGTGTGTGTGTGTCCGTGTCCCACCACCTCTGCTGTGTTTGAAAAATGCCTCTCTTCCAGCCAAGCTCATTTTGGCATCCTGTTAGGAGAGCCTTTCTTACCCTCTTATCCTTTTGCTTTTTTGTGTGGTTTTGTTTTTTTTTGTTTTTTTTTTTTTTGAGATAATCTCTTGTAACTCAAGCTAGTCTCAACCTGCTATGTAACTAAAATGACCTTGAACTTTTGATCCTCTTGCCCCCTACCTACCTAGAGGTTTGGGCCACTTTTTCTGGCTAAGAAAGCCTTTCTTTTTTTTGGGGGGGGGGGGGGGGCGGGCGGTCTTTTTGAGGCAGGGTCTCCCAGGAGCCCCAGCTGGCCTAGAACTCACTATGACCTTGATCTCACAGAGGTCTGCCTGCCCCTGTCTCCCCAGTGCTGGGATTAAAGGCGTGTACCACCATTGTACCAGCTTTTTTTTTTTTTTAAACTTATTGTAGGAGTGCATATTTGGTGCATACCACAGTGTGTGTGTGTGTGTGTGTGTGTGTGTGTGTGTGTGTGTAATTTTCAAGACAACTTTTGGGAGTCGGTTCTTTCCTTCCCCTTTTTGAGGCAGGCTCTGTTTCTGCTGGGCCTCATACTCCAGGCTGGCTGGCCATTCTCTTTCAGGCCATTCTCCTGCCTCTACTTCCTATTTAACCATAGGAGTGTGTCCTAGTTACTTTCTATTACTCTGATAAAAACAATGACCAAAACCAACTTGGGGAGGAAAGGGTTTATTGGGCTTAGAGTTCACAGTCCATCATCAAAGGAACCCAAGGCAATAACTCTGGACAGGAACCTGGAGCAGACCATGGAGGTATACTGCTTACTGACTTGCTCCTCTGACCAGTGCTCGGCCTGCTTTCTTATACAACACAGGACCTCCTGACCAGGGTGGCATCGCCCACAGTGGGCTGGGCCCTCCCACATCACTCAACAATCAAGAAAATGCCCTACAGACATGACCACAGGCCAATCCCATAGAGGAAATTCCTTAACTGAAGCTCCCTCTACTCAGGTATGTCAAGTTGATAACTGAAGCTATCCAACAGAGTGCTAGAATTAGAGATATATACCCCATCAGGTGTTTGTGGGGGGAGCGTGGGGGGGTGTTCCTGGGCTTTGTTTTTATGGCTAAGTCTTTTGTTGTCCGGTCTGCTTCTTAGTTGTTCGTCACTATGGGCCAGTCGTCTTCTGTGTCCTCTACACCCCTTGAATGTAAGTTAACTAATTCCTTAGATTTCAGGAAAAGACCCAGAGGTATGGGTTTCAGGCCCGAAGCCCTGAGGCTCCGTATGCTGTGCAAATTGGATTAGCTGATGTTTTCCATCCATCGGCTGGCCCTCTGAGGGCTCATTTGACTTAAACCTTGCTTATGCTGTTTGCTGAATATCATCCAGATCAGATTCCTTATATTCCTGCCTGGGTAGACCTCTTGGAAAACCCCCCTACGTGGCTGAATAAATGTAAAGAGGCAGAGAAGAAGGTTGGGTCTCCCCCAGAAGAAGGTCCAAAACCGGTTCTACCTGTAGGTTCTACCTGTAGTGAGGGCCTCTGGGGAGGAGGGGGAACTCGTAAATTATATCCGGTTCTGCAAGAACCTGTCAGGGATGATGACCTCTTCGGACCCCCTCCTTGTGTGCAGCATGTATGTCAGGAGAGGGAAGAACCAGAGAAAGTCTTGATTAGTCCTCCCCACCTCTTACCCAGGGGAGGTCCCGTTGGCCTCCCCTTCAGCCCCAATCCTTTCCCTTAGGGAGGTGGTAGTTCCTACATCCTCGGGCCAGGCTACACAGTCTATGCTAGTCTACACCCCTTTCTCTACTACTGATTTGTATAACTGGAAGACCCAGAACCCCCCTTTCTCCGAAAACCCCCAGGGCTTTATAGATCACCTCAGTTCCATCTTTACCACTCACCTTCCTACCTGGGAGGACTGCCATCAACTTCTACAGATTCTATTTACTTCTTCTACAGATTCTGTTTACTTCTGAGGAGCACACCAGGGTCCTCAGAGAAGCAGCCTGCTCTGTCCTTGGATGAGACAGACTAACTGTTACAGAATGGGAGGAGATTGAGGAAGTGTCCCCAACCACCCCTCTGGACTGGGACCCTAATACCTCACACAGTAGGGAGAACTTATACCGGTATTGCCAGACTCTGTTACGGGGACTCAGGGCTGCGGTTAGGAAGCCCACAAATCTTTCAAAGGTGAGTGACACCTTGCAAGGAAGTGAGGAGTCCCCAGCTGCCTGTTTAGAAAGAATGTATAATGTTTATTGCCTCTATACACCTATTGACCCAGAGGCACCAGAGAACCGAAAGACCATTAACATGGCTTTCATGTCACAGTGGGCCCCGGATATTAAGAGAAATCTCCAAAAGCTAGAAGGGTTTGAGGGAAAGCTAATCTCTGAGCTGGTAGAAATAGCACATAAGGTGTACCAAAATAGAGAAGCTCCTGTCCCAACACAGGTCATAGCAAAGGTGGCAGTGGCGACATGGGGAAAATCACCAAGAAAGCCCCAGAAACCCGGACCTCCTCGAGGTACCAGCTGGCCCCCTAGAAGGTTGGGGACAAGGGAGAAGCTTGAGAAGGACCAGTGCACCTACTGTAAGGAAAGAGGCCACTGGAAGAATGAGTGCCCACAGAGAGGAAAAAGTCCAGCCCCAGTGGCAACTGCCGAGGAACAATGACAGGGCCTAAGCTTTTCCCTGAATCCCCTGGAGCCTATGGTAACACTGAAAGGGGAAGGGAAAGATGCCAAATTCCTGGTAGATATGAGGGCCACTTATTTGGTTCTCAAGAAGGCTGCAGGCTCCCTAATAACAAAGTTTATATTCAGGGGGCCACTGGAAGAACTCAAGGGTATCCCCAAACACAAGCCAGAATTACTGACTTGGCCTGCAGCACCATTACTCATTCCTTTGTCTTGATACTGGACTGTCCTTACCCCCTTTTGGGCCGAGACTTACTCCATAAATTAAAGGCTCATATTTCATTTAGGGGAGATGCCACTGAGCTGGACCTCAGACCCCCCTACTGTACTGGTGACATGTCCAGTATCTGAGGAGTACCAACCAACTCTATGAAACTACAGAAGGGCAAAAATCTCAGAGGTTGGAGGGATGGAGAAACACCATTCCTACTGTTTGGGCTGAAGATAACCCCTCAGGATTAGTGAGAAATCAGGCCCTGCTGGTTACCAGTTAACCAGTACTGCCACCCCCATCTGGGTCAGTCAATACCCTATTAGTCAGCAAGCAAGGCAAGGTATCACCAAGTGTATTAACCGACTCAGGCAGGAAGGCATCCTGATACCTTGTCACTCAGCCTGGAACACCCCTTTGTTGCCCATCCCCAAGCCAGGGACAGGCAAATTCAGGCCGGTCCAGGACCTGAGGGAGGTAATAAGAGGGTTAAGACTATACATCCAACTGTCCTCAACCCTTATACCTTGCTCAGCAAGCTGATGCCTGAACAGCAGGTGTATACTGTCCTGGATCTTAAAGCTGCTGCCTTCACCTTCCCTGTAGCTGAGTGCAGCCAACCTATCTTTGCCTTTGAGTGGACTGATCCTGATGGGTCCTATACTGGCCAGCTAACCTGGACTCAGCTACCCCAGGTATTAAAAAACTCTCTAACCCTATTCAGTGAGGCCCTTTGACAAGACTTGGTTCCCTACAGAGAGACACATCTGGAAGTGACTCTCCTCCAGTATGTGGATGACCTGCTCCTGGCTGCAGTCTCTGAGGAGACCTGTGGCCAAGCCACCGAAGGCCTGCTAAGGGAACTGGCTCATCTAGGGTATAGGATATCAGCCAAAAAGGCCAAGGTATGTCAGAACAGTGTGATATTTGGGATATACTATCCATGAAGGAAAAGAGGTTGCTGGGAACAGAGAGACTATATACAATATTAAGTATTCCTACCCCTAGGAACAGGTGGCAAGTCAGAGAATTTTGGGGGGCTGCTGGGTATTGCTGTCTTTGGATACCCAGGTTCGCTGAGTTAGCAAAACCCTCATATGCTGCCACCAGCAATTTGGGAGAGGACTTTAAGTAGGGTGAGGACGAGGACGAGGCCTTTGCCTGATTGAAACAAGCCCAGCCTTAACATTGCCTGATGTGACTAAGCCATTTCAGCTGTTTGTACATGAGACATGGGGTATAGCCAAGAGAATGCTTACCCAAGAACTGGGACCGCGAAGGAGACCTGTGGCCTATCATCTCTTTAAAAGGCTTGATCCAGTCGCTATGGGGTGGCCAAGTTGCTTGTGCTCCATAGTGGCCATGACCATTCTGGTAAAGGAGGCTATGAAGCTGACTTTGAGACGAGATCTTCAAATTGTGAGCCCCCATACAGTTGAAGCCACCCTGAGGGTCCCACCTGAGAGATGGATTTCCAATGCACGCATCACCCAGTACCAAGTGTTCTTACTAAAGCCTCCACACATCACCTTCCTCAGGACCGAAGCACTAAATTCTGCCACCCTGTTGCCAGATGATGACCCTGATGCACCCCTCCACGGCTGCCTAGAGACTGTAAGTACCATCACAGGGTTACAGAAGGACCTCCAGGATCTACCACTGCCAAAAGCCGACTTTGAGCTGTACACCAATGGCAGTAGCTTCATAGAGAATGGAATCAGATTCACAGGGGCGGTGGCAGTGACTCTGGAATCAGTCATCTGGTCTCAACCTTTAAATCATGGGACTTCTGCTCAGAAGGCAGAGTTGGTAGCATTAACCCAGGCTCTAAGATGGGGAAAGGACAGGTCACTTAACATCTACACTGACAGCCATTATGCCTTTGCAGCCGCTCATGTACATGGAGCCCTTTATAAAGAGGCCTCCTAACCTCAGGAGGACAGGAGACTAAAAACAAGGAAGAGATCCTAGCTCTACTAGAGGGTCTCTGGTTACCCAAGGTTGTAGCTATCATCCACTGCAAAGGGCATCAAAAAAAAACCTACCCACTATGACAGCAAGAGGAAATGCCCTTGTCGATCAGAAGGCAAAAAGGGTGGCTAAAGAGAAAAAGGAACCATTAAAACTCTTGATTGTCCTCCCTTTTCGCTTCTTCCCCAATGAACTGTCCTATTCTGAGGAGGAATGTTGGCTAGCAAAGAGTTTGAGGGCAAGGGCAGGGGCTAGAAATTGGTTCTGGTTGGAAGACAGGCGTCCTGTTCTACCTGAAGCTTTGGGAAGAGAATGGCTACAAAGAACTCATGATTCTACCCATTTGGGGGCCACCAAATTAGCTGAATTGGCCCAACAAGAAGTTCTTCATCCCCCACTTGGGTAAAATGTCAAAGGATGTTGCTGCGAGATGCAAAACTTGTGCCCAAAATAACCGAGGCAAAGGTTTTCCTTCCACAGAACAGTGATTGAGAGGACAAGCCCCTGGAGAAATCTGGGAACTCAACTTTTCCGAGATGACTAGTGGACAGTATGGTTACCAGTATCTCTTAGTACTTGTGGACATCTTTTCAGGATAGGTAGAGGCTTGTCTAACTCGAATGGAGACAGCACAGATAGTAGTAAAAAATTATTAAATGATCTGATACCTCAATTTGGCATTCCCCTCGGTTTGGGGTCTGACAATGGCCCAGCTTTCATAGCCCAAATCTCCAAAACTGTTGCAAAAAGCCTACAAGTTGATTGGAAATTGCCTTGTGTCTACCATCCCCAGACCTCAGGACAAGTAGAAAGAATGAATAGAACACTTAAACATTGATAAGCTAATTGCAGAAACTGGTGAGAACTGGGTAAGCCTCCTTCCATTTGCTCTATTGTGAGTCAGGTGCACCCCTTATATTAAAAGCATCACCCCCTTTGAAATTATGTATGGAAGACCTCCCCTATTAATTCCTAAACCAGGATTAGAATGGATTGCTGAAGGAACTAATCACAATCTCCTTAAATCATTGCAGGCATTGCAGTCCACACTCCCTGAGATTCACAAGTGTGTGAAGGAGGACCAGGCAGAGACAGCAGAGCCCCATGACTTGCCTTGTACAATGGTGGACCCCAGCACCTGGGTTTGGGTACACTGACATTCTGCTCCAGATTTTGAGGCTCGCTGGGCTGGACCATACCCTGTTGTTCTAAGCATCCTGTCTGCAGTCAAGGTGGCTGGTTACAGTCACTGGATGCACGGTTCTCAAACTAAAGAAGCGCACCCAGATCATATCCCCCAGTCATGGAGCCTCAAGAACCCCGGCAATCCTTTAAAACTCAAGCTGGTAAAGAACCCCTCTGGACTATCCTAATATTGTTTTCTCTCCTCTTTTCAGCCCCCTCTATCCATGCCCCTGCCTTTTATCATTAGGTCTTAAGTCACACCTCTGAGGATCGTGTTATAGGAAATGTCACTTCTTATGGGACTCCTGAGATTCCAGTGTTTAAATTTGACCTTTGCGAGCTGTTCTTCCCTGGGGGCTCATGGTGTGAAACAAGGACCTTTGGAAGTGTTATAGAGGGGCAGCAATTCTATGCCTGTCTGGTTGCTGGGGCCACAAAATGTAGCACCCCAGGACAATGGCAATGTGGAGAATGGGGTTGTGACAACTTGGGAAGGATAAATGGATCTCCCTAAAGAGAGGGACTTCCGATTGTTCTGTCCCTCCCTATAGGTCCCAATCAGGTTTTAAATCCACAGTCTGACATCAGACAGGAACCCATCCCAGGGACTATTTAGGTTGTCAGTGTAGCATGCCCCCGACTAGAGGATGTCCATCTTGTCACCTTACGTAACATGGCTAGTTATTTTTCCAGTTTCCCTGAAACTACCCCCTCCCCACACCCCTGGGGGGTTGAGAGTTCCTGGAATTGACCACATGTCCAGCCAAGATGCTTGCTCTGGCAGTTGGAAAACAATTTAATTGGTCTGTTTAAGATGAAAACCAACTGTGAACTTTAACTGACTTATGCAAATAAGTACTTGAGTTTGAAACATAATGATTGGTCCCTTATATTCCTGCTTTTGCAAACCACCCGAGTGTGTATAAAAAGTCCTTGCAAACTCATACAGGCTGCTCGCTGTATGCACTCCGAGTGCAGGGACAGCCTGGCCGTAAAATAAATCTCCCTTACCTCAACTTTGACCTCATGGCGTGGCTTGATTTCCAACCTACAACAGTCAGGCTTACAGGCAACCACTTTACCCACTAAGTGTTTTACCAACCCTAGGCAAACCTTTCTTTTTACAAGGTCAGGGAGGTGTGTGTGGGGTACGTGCATGTGAGTGTAGGTGCACATGAAGGCCAATGCACATGAAGGCCAGAAGTGTCAGATCCCCCTGATGCTGGGGTTACAGGTAGTTGTGAGCCACCCAACGTTGAGTCCTGGGAACCAAACTGAACCAAACCTGTCCTCTCCAAGAGCAGTAAGCACCTTTAACTGAGCCATCTCTCCAGCCCCTAGATAAGCCTTTCTTAAGTATCCTTTTCACCTTTCCCAGAAATCCCTTTGCCTTGGCCCTCTCTTTGGAGTGTAGACCCCCTGGCACCAGGGAGGGACCTCAGGGTCCTGCAGGAATGTTCAGACGGGCACTAAGATAGACAAGTGCTGAAAAGTACAAGATAAGCTCTGGGGTGGCTGGGTGTGGGGCAAAGATAAGGGCTTGGTCTATGTCTCAGTTTAAAGGGCAAGACAGTTCCAATTATGTCCCTAAAGGCTTAGTGTGAATTGCAGTCACATCCTTAAGAGCTTTACCATGAGCTTGAATAAAGCATTACAGGAGTAGAGGACTCCTTAGTGCCTTATGAATGAATCAGCACTTGTTTCTTTGGACCCTTAGATGTCTGTCCTTAAGAAATGGTTACTACTTGGGCACCTGAGAAGGTACCATCCAGGGTTAATCAGTTGTCTGACCTCACTGGTTACTTCAGCCTGTCCACTATGTCCCTGGCAAGTCCCATCCTGTCTTTTAGCACTGCCTTCAGATGGTCTTTTCCTCTTCTGCTGACCTCATCAGGACTGGCTCTCCCAACCCCACACAGGTTTTAACTTCTAGCTTGCCCATCTCTCCTCTCCCCTCCCATATGTGATGTCCATTTCTATCTTTTACTTTTCACTCTCCAAAGGCCACTTTTTAGGAGGAAAGAGGAATTTTCCCAGGGACTTGTTATACACATTTAGCTGTCCAGGCAGAAACATGGGAGCTACTGACTCCATTTCATGTCACCACTGTCACTGCCTGGCTCCATCCATATACCTTCCATTATGACTGTCCAGGCACCCGTTGTCTCTGCCATGTGGACTGCAACAGCCTCCATTTGGCCTCCCTGCCTTTTGCCTTGACATCTGAATCTGTTCTCCACAAGTGAATCATGGTGATCTCCTCCAGGACTCCTTGTATGTTGGTGCTGGAAATCAAACCCAGGGCCATTTGCATGCTACTCTATCACTGGCCTGCACCCTTAGGCAGAAAGTTTCTAAAAGGAAATTTGATCATGTTGCTTCACTATTTAAAACTCTTTGGCTGGGCACCTGACAAGATGAAATCCAAGCTCCTTAGTGTGGCTCTTCAGACCTTGGCTCCTTTCATTCCGTGATCTAGCCAGAAAGCCACTTTGAATCCCACCACAGGCTATGTTGGTGGTCAGGAGTTGGAGCTTTATAAAGGTTGACTAGACAAATGGTCCCATTCCTCCCCCTCAAACCAGTGTTCCTGCAGACACTCAGGAATACCAGACACCAGCATAAAAATAAGAGGCCTCCCACAAGGGTTCTAAGCAAAGCTCCCAGGAGGGCAGGGCCTCTTTAAAGGGCAGGAAACTTTAAAAGCTTCTGCTTTGAGAAGAAAATCAGAAAGAACAGAAGAACAGAGTGAAGGTGTTAATCACATATATTAATTGATGAATAGGTTAACAGACAAATCAGTTAATCTGGGCCAGGCTGTGCCGGAATGTTCTGTGCCTGGGCTCTGTCCAGAGGGTCAGAGACCCATTTCTTTCCATCAGCACCAGGAAGGAGACCGGTTGGTTCTTTGTCCCACCCTCAGGATGCCAGCTGGACTGCCCTGTGTGGTGCCATCAGCTTGGGCTACAGATCAGTCCTAGGTCCCACTCCATCATTTTCCATTGGCCTTGGGTCCCAGTGTCTGTCCTCATTTCCTGCTCAGTTACATGGTGGCAGAATGGCCTGGCTGAAGGTTAGTGAGGAAGGGGAAGCAGCCCTGGCACAGTTCTGGGAAGACTCAGGCAGTGACCAGCCTGTGTGAGACAAGGGTGATGTCCGTACTTGTGGGGCCCAGAGAACAGCTTCCAGCTCAGAGGATATTGTACTCCTGTAACTTGTCTTCCAAGTAAAAGCGGGTAAAGAGGAAGGGGCTCATGTTGATGGTCTTGAATTCACCTTCCAGTACCACTTCTGCCACAGCTCGTCCAACACCAAGTGCATGCTGAAGCCCGTGACCACTGAAGCCCGTAGCAAAGTACATGTTGACAACTAGAGGGTGGGGGCCTACCACGCCATTCTGGTCAAAAGTATTGTAGTCATAATAGCCAGCCCAGGCACTCTGAACCTGTGGGTGCACAAGATGCTGGGGTTCCTGGCCAAGCTGCAAACATGCTCAACCCACACTCTTAGTCGGGGGCCAGCTGCTGAGGGGTTCATGGGATGGGATAGACCCAACAGATTGCTCAGCGGTTGAGAGGCGGAGAGAATATGACAGTAAACAGGCAAAGAGACCAAGATGCTCTAGGATCAACCATTTTGGATTCAATTCCTAAACCCAAACAGGAACAATTACTCTCTGTCAGTTACCTTCAAAGTCTGAAAAGCTGGCACCCTCTGGGCCAAATGGGGCCACACCTTATTCTGGAAGAAATCATGGTCCACTTCTAGGTTTGCTGGGTCTGGTTCTTCCTCCTGGGTGAGAGATTGAGACAAGTCTGATACTGCCTGGAATACAAGGGTAAACCCAGACTCACTGATTCCTATAACCAATCGCTTCAGTGGACACCAATCCTAACCTCAATGACACAATATGGGAGCTACCAAAAGGCTTACCTCTTTATTTATTTTAATTAATTAATTAATTAATTTATTTATTTATTATCTATCTTTTTGAGTGGATTTGCTATGGAGACCGGGATGGCTTCGAACTCACAGAGATCCACCCGCCTCTGCCTCCTGAGTGCTGGGATTAAAGGCATGCGCCACCATGCCCCGCCCTATTTATTTTTTTAAATTAATTTATTTTTGGTCTTTTTGAGACAGGGTCTCCCGGTAGCCCCACCTGGCCTGGAACTCACTATGTAAACCAGGCTGGCCTTGAACTCACAGAGATTCTCCTGCCTGTGCCTCCCAAGTGCTGGGATTAAAGGTATGTGCCACCATGCCTGGCCCAGGCTTGCCTCTATAATGGCAACTGATCTGTGTCTCTGAGCATCTTAACTTACCTCAGTGGGACTACAGCCACCTAGGTAGTTGCTGCCTAGTCCTTCTCGTCGAAAATAGACTCCACTGGTGTCTGCAACCAATGGTGTCTCCAGGCCTGGTCCCTGGGGGCAGTGCCATAAATACACATACCTGCCATAATCAGGGGAGTTGGAATATTTCAGAAGTATCCATCATCAGCCCTCTGCCCCCTTCCACCCCATGCACACACACCACTTTTAAAAATCATTTCTCTCTCTCACCAACCTCCTTAGCTGCCCTGAAGGAAGCTACCTTTTCCTTGGCTCCACAGGTAGCTTGGTGCCCTGCAGGGTGCCAGGTGGACCTTTCCCAATACCAGCCAGCTTTGCAATATGTCCAGACCAGGCTCCTGCAGCATTGATCACTATGGCACATTCCACAGGCTGATACTCTAGGCTTTTGTCCATCTTCACCTACAGGAACCAAAGGGTAAGGGGAGAGAGTGCTGGGGCCACACAATGGACACCATGAGGTCTATTTCCTCCTCAACCTAATGTAACCAGTACCAGGAAGCAGGCAGAAGACCAAAATTAGGGCAGTTATCACCCTTCTTCCCCTCCAATGTAGTGGGAAGCACACTCGGATGAGGGACTTACATGGAGTTTGTGGATCCTTTTCAAGACCATCTCTTCCCCATTTGGCCCCTCCACACAGCTAGATGAAGTGATGAAACCTATAGGAAAGAAATAAATAAGCCCTTCAGGAAGGGGAAGCTCAGTGGTAGAGCATATGCTTAGCAAGCATGAGGCCCTGAGTTCCATCCCCAGAGTCCCCTATCACTACCACATACACAAAGTCTTGAGGGAAATGGGGAGCCCACTAGTTTCTTTTGAAGACTAGGTCTCATGTATCCCAGGCTGTAGCTGAGGATGACCTTGAACTGCTGATTCTCCTGCCTCCACACCTCCCAAGTACTGAGATTAAAGGCATATACTGTGCCCAGCTTATTTGGTACTGAGGATGGAACTTATGGCTTTGTGTATGTTAGGTAAACACTCTTATCAGCTAAGCTACATCCCTGGTCCCACTTAACTGCACTGGTTTTCTTTTTTCTTTTGCCCACTGTTTTTTCTTTTAAAAAAATTATTTATTTTTATTTTATGTGTATGAGTTTTGCCTGCATGTATATTAAGTCTACCCATGTATGCAATGCCTACAGAGGCCAGGAGAGCACGTTGGATCCTGGAACTAGAGTTACAGATTGTTGTTAGCCACCATGTGGATGCTGGGAACCAAACCCTCATCCTCTGCAAGAGCAGCCAGTGCTCTTAACTGCTGAGCCATCTTTCCAGCCCTGCCCACTGGTTTCTTAAGAAAATGGGAAGGATGATTTCCTACAGATACTCAAGTTAGCAGACATCAGGAAAATAATGAACTTTACCATACAGGAACATGGTAACTCTGGAAATATGATGTAGGTCACAAGTCACAAAGCGGCCTAGTGAGGAGAGTTGGGATGCCTAGTAGTAGTCCCTCAAAGGGGACGGCCTCTCACACCAACCTGTTTGAGCATGTGAGCAAGAACATAAGGCCTGGTTTAGGCCTTGCCCTGGCTGCAAGAGGACACAGGCAGACAGAATGAGGCCTCAAGACTCACGTGTCACTTCTCCTTGGCAGAAAAGAACACCCATTGACCGGACCTTGCGACGAAGGCCCTGGAGCAGAGACCAGGCGTCAAACCAACCTTCGTTCTCCATCCCTAAGATGAGGAAAAAGAGAACTCATGAAGCATTGGACCCCTCCTGTCCTACTCTATTTCTTCCCCTCATGCCAACATTTTTTATAGGGCTTTATAAGCAGAGGGCATCGTGACTAACTGTACTGGAGTCCAATCACGCTGAAGGCCCAGTAGTATGGTCTGGGACAGGCCTTGCTGCTCAGGAGCAAAGTGTGGAGGTGGCACACTGCGACTTCCAACCCAAGGAACCCTTCAATCCCCAACTTCAGGAAAAAGCTGTCCACTCTACAGGTGAGCCTTACCATAAGAAGCCAGAGCCACTCCCTCTGTGTTTACCCAGGGAAACTTGTTCTGTAGCTGCTCAGGAGACATCAGGCAAACCTTGGCCCCTTCCTGCCTGAGAGAAATGTGTGCATCTGAGTTAATGTCTTAAGGCGTGAGGAATTCAGAGGGGAGGAACATGAACCCTGACTCCATGAGAGGAAATTTCCAGCTCACTGATGACACTTCACTGCCCCAAATGGCCCCGTTTTTCCTCACTGCTGAATGTGAAGGCTCTTTAGCATGTGAGCCCTCTTTCCTTCCCTCTACCCTCATCCCCCCTTTAGTACTCTCATCTCCTTCTTACCCTGTACCTACTCTGTCTCCTTTCATGACAATGATGGGGAACTATGTTCTCTTCACTCCTGTAAAATATACAATCCTGTCCCTTAACACAACTATTTCCTCTGGAACACTGTCCCCATATGCAGGAGAATGCAGGTACTAACACACCTATGAGCCAGTGCCTGGTTTAAAATGAGTCAAGAGTGTCATGTCATCCTTTCCTAGGTCTTCTTGCCTTATATCCCCACATGTGAAATGGGATGTTCTGATTAAATGAGGCAGCATCTGTAAACATTTAGGATATGACCTGCTGTCATTAGTGTGATTTGTAGGGCGTTAAAGAGAGCCTGTGCCATAATGTATCACAAAGATGTCCACTTTTGATTGATTATGAGGTTCATAGAGGCAATGGTTGCCAAAGCCAACCTATTGCCTGTAGCCCCCACTGGCCTGGAACTCACTAGGTAGACTAGGTTGGCCTTGAACTCACAGAGATCCACCTGCTTTTGCCTCCTGAGTGGTAAAGGCATGCGCCACCATGCCTGGCTGTTGCCTGTTTCGTAAATGAGCTACACTCAATTATTTGTATTCTATCTACAGCTGCTTTTGTGCTGTTAACAGTGGAGCTAACTGGTTGTAACAGACATTGACTGGCAAGCAGAGCCAAAAAGATTTACTGTCTGGCCCTTTACAGAAAGAAGTTTGCTGACCTCTAACTTAGGAGTCTTTATTTTACTTTTTCAAAAGTTTTTAAATTTTTTTTTTTTTTTAAATGAGTATTTTGTCTGGTATATGTAAGTGAAACATGTATTTGCAATGCCTGCAGAGGCCAGAAGAGGATGTCAGGTCTCCTGGAACTGGAGCTATAGACAGTTGTTAGCCACAATATAGGTGCTGGGAACAGAACCTGGGTCCTCTGCAAGAGCAGCCAGTGCTCTTAACTACTGAGCTATTTCTCCAGCCCCTAAATTAGGATTCTTGTTAGAAGCCCAGTCAGTAGGCCACTCCCTAAAGATTCTGGTTTGTTAGTCTGGGATGTACCCTAGGTGGTTCTTAGAAACTGGCCAATGCAGGAACCATTTTCTGTCCAAGTCTGGGTTACAGCATTTACCACAAGGCACTGAAGGTTTGCATGTGCACATCTTTCCCGATAGTGAGCTCCTAGAGACAAGGTACTTGTCTAGCTTCCCCACTCCTAATTTAGTGCAGGAGCTCCCTAAATAGGTAAAGTCAAGAAGCAGCTGAGGGCAGCACTGAGCACCCACCTTTGTATTTTTACATTGTTCTCCAAGGCAGCAGCATCCTTTTCTGAAGCTAGCAAGAGACATCCTGAGGGGTTGAACCGGAGGTCCACAGGAGGGGCATCCACCACGGCCAGGTACTCCTGTGTGCAAAGGAAAGCTGCTCTCTAAGGAGGCTGAGGTAAAGGGGAGCCTTCCTGGTCTTCTCCATCCGTAAGGCTCCTAGCATCAGTGCCCCAAATCAGGAGAAGCCCTTCTCTAGGCACTAACGCTAAAAGAGTCAAGGGTCCCAGAGCCTTGTTGCTTCAACCACTCCCCTCCCTAGTTCCCTTTGCCAGCTAGACTATTCCTCTCTTTGTTAAAGAAGTCACCACTTTAGCACCCCTCCATCCCAACCAAATCTCACTGTACATACATTGATGTTCCGTAGAAACTCGACTGAAAATAGGGAAAGCCGTACATTCTCAGGCATGGAGAACTGCTGCCAAATCCCACCCACAGAAAGCCCTGCGGAGGAGGCCTGTGAATACTGAGAAAAGACAAGAAAAATTGAGGCAGACCAGCAAGCTGCCCTGTGAATGGAATCCTGCAAAGGAAGCTGTCAGTATTACATCTAAAGTTAAAAGGGAATCCCTTTTCTCAATTTATAATGTAAGGGGAGGAAGGGTGGATGAACCTGCATGTAAGTCAACCTGTAGCTTAAAAAGATAAACAGTGCTTTAAATCATCAGTGGCAGATGAACTAAGCAGAGGCTCAAGCATCTTCATAGTGTTGGACACACTGGAACAAAGTAGTAATAGCCTAGAAACCCAAAAGCTGGGTGTGGTGGTGCATGTCTTTAATCCCAGCATTCAGGAGGCAGAGGCAGGAAGATCTCTGAGATCAACACTAGTCTGGTCTACATAGTGAGTTCTAGGCTAGCTGGGGCTTACATGGAGACCCTTACTCAAAAAAAAAAAAAAAAAAAAAAAAAAAAGGATATTACCAAGATAGAGGATTTTCAGCTAGTTGCCAATATCAAACAAGAACAACCCATGTGTGGAAACCTCAGAAATCATGGGAGCCTAAAAGAAGGTAGAGACAGCTGTTTGCATTAATAAGTAGCCTGCTGTCAGATGGGGTGGCACATGCCTTTGATCTCAGCACTTAAGAAGCAAAGGCAGTTGGATCTCTGAGTAGGCCAGAGTGATCTACATAGCAAGTTCCAGGCCAGTCAGGGCTACATAACATAGACTGTCTCAAAAAAAAAAAAAAAATACAGCTGAATACAGGCTGTCTCAGACAGACTTTCAAATGTGGAAAGAATCAACACTGTAGAATCTGTTTGCAAAACCAAAAGCCCAGGCAAATGTGATGGAGCACACTTGTAATCTCAACTCTTAGGAAGCTGAAGCCAGGAGCATGCAGAGTTCAAAGCCAGCCTAGGCTACATAGTGGTATCTTGTCTTCAAAAAGATAGAGAAGTAAATTCCTACTAACAAAACAAAAATTCTTATTGTCAGCGGGGCACATTGGCGCCCATCTTTAGTCCCAGCACTTGGGAAGCAGAGGAAGGTGGATCTCTGTGAGTTCAAGGCCAGCCTGGTCTACATAGTGAGTTCCAGGCCCGCTGGGGCTATAGGGAGATCCTGTCTCAAAAAAAAAAAAAAAAAAAAAAAAATTCTTATTGCCAAAGCTCTTGGTTTGAGCAAGAAAGAACCTGGGACTATTCAATTCAAGGTCCATGCACAGCTTTAGACCTCAAAAAATTGAGTTTTCTCTCTCCTTTTCTTCCCTTACACCTAGCATCCTCAACAATATGAGTCATCTTTACTGCTCCATTCATAATTTTGCCCTATCCCAGACCTCACCGTGTGGTCTTGGTCCACCACCAGCACCCGAATGGCATCTTGTTTCTTTTCCAGCTTCTTCAGCCAAAAGGCCACTGACAGGCCAAAGATCCCACCCCCTATAATAACCACATCTGACTGTTCTGGGGGCAGGTGGCTGGTGTCATACAGTTGTGTTTCCCAGGGTTTTCCAGGCAGAATGCACTCGATCTTCTTCTTAAACTCGGACACTTTTGCATCCCAGTCTGTGGGACAGAGTTACAATTAGAGGGATTTATTTCTTTCTACGTGGTGGTGGTGGTGGGCTGGGAGGATGCGCACAGGAAAAGGTGGGCTGAGTTGACAAGTCCCCACTGTCATCCTTTCTCATAAAATCAACTCACATGCAGCAGTACTGTCACCACTTTGCTGTTTGATCTCTGTACCAATCTCCACTACCATGCATCACGCCTACCACTGAAAGATTCAATTTCCTAAAATTACACTCTCGACTCTCTAAGCTAGGTGGCTCACATATTTAGCTCCTTCAGTCTTCCCTCAGTCCTGAGTCCCAGCTTCAGATATTCAACTACATGGTTATCTCCACTAAGGTATCCTAGGCCTGCGGAACAGGAGTTCCGGGTATACTCCATCCTGTAGAGCTTTTTAAAGCATGGCACCTCTAAGTGGTCCTATATCCAGAATATGCATTACCACCAGCAAACAACGAGATTTGTGCCTTGAAAAGTGCATCCTTCGGATTTATACACCTGCCTGGTCTCTATAACCTCTGGTAGGTAAGCTTGCCCCTTCCCCCAGCCGACTCGTTGTCCTGCCAGCATGAGCCAGGGGCTGAACCTTGAAGGTCGCATATGTGTAGACTGTAGGCAGCACAGAACCACTACAGTATACCCTCTGCTTTACCCAGAGTAGAGACTCCTCTACGCGTGCTTAGCCCTCGGGTCAAGAGGCCCGGGCCCAAGCCCAGCTGCAACACTCTCCGAAACATGGTACTTCGCAGGCCGGCTCCTTTCAGAACTAGCGGACGTCCAGCCCCAGCGTGGTCATCGGCCCGCGCCACAGGGCATTCACCCGAGTGCGCCGATCGGCCCGCAGACCCCACCCCCTCCAAGCTATAGGAAGCCTCGCTCACGGCCACCATTGGTCAGATTTGCGTCACGTCATCCCACGCGCCCTCGGCGGAGAGGGGCGGGACCCTGGAGGCTCGGAGCGGAAGTGCGGCTGAGCTGGTTTCCGGGCCCGCTGGTGTGACGTGTCCCGCGCTTGGCGCAGCAGGAAGCGGCGGCGGTCGCGGCCCGAGTTCCCGGTGCCGGCCTCGGCCCCAAGACCTCTCCCGCTGCCGCCATGCTCGACTTCTTCACCATCTTCTCCAAGGGCGGGCTTGTGCTCTGGTGCTTCCAGGGCGTGAGCGACTCGTGCACCGGGCCCGTGAACGCATTGATTCGTTCCGTACTGCTGCAGGTACCACCCCGCAGGGCAGAACTCCGGGTTCTCCTCTGACCCAGTCTGTGCCCCACCCCACCCCACCCCCGTCATCCCGCGCCTTCTGCCCAGTCCTCAGATTGGCCGCTCACTGGCCACCCAGACTCGACTTCCTCCGGCCGCATCTGACTACCCCAAAACTTTGCCCCCCCCCCCGCCCCCGTATCTGGGACTCTAGTCATAGCCCAGAGACTTCACCAGCCTTTTTCCACTTACCCCAAGCAGCTTGACTTTCTCTTGTGTTGCGTCTGGGTGAGGCTGTGGATGGGAGAACGCCTCTTAGAAACACTAAATGATGCACACTTGAGAGTAGATCCAATTGTTAATGTGTGACTGTTACCCTTTGGGCTGTCAGATGTCTCGCCTTCCCTCTCAACATTCCCCCTTCCCCCAACTTGGGTGTCTCCTATTCTTGACGATAGGGTAGTAGAGAAAAATGTCTCAGCGCCCCATTGCCCCGAGGATAGGCGTGAATATCTGGTTCTTCCCCAAACGTAGTACAAAGTTTGGTTCTGTTGTGGATAGCCTGAACCTTGAGACATGCTCTTTTTCTAGGAACGGGGAGGTAACAACTCCTTTACTCATGAGGCCCTCACACTCAAGTATAAATTGGACAACCAGTTTGAGCTGGTGTTTGTGGTAAGTTTGGGTATGTTAGAAAGCCAAGTTATGTTCTTAACAGTCCCCATTAAGAACCCAGATTAATTGCACTGTGTGATGAAATAGAGAAAAAAGTAGGAAGGTGGAGGGGAAAAAGAAAGCAACTTCTGGGTAAGGTAGAAAGCTTGGCTACCTCTCAGGATAGGAAAACTGCCAGCTGGCTGAGCCTATCTCTGGAAGCCTGGGTTGAGCTGGCCACCTTCCATTCTGGGCTGACATGTAAGCAGATCTATTGGCTCTGTTTCCTCCCTTAAACAGGTTGGGTTTCAGAAGATCCTAACACTGACCTACGTAGACAAATTAATAGACGATGTGCACCGGCTGTTTCGGGACAAGTACCGCACAGAGATCCAACAACAAAGTGCTTTAAGTTTATTGAATGGCACTTTTGATTTCCAAAATGACTTCCTGCGGCTTCTTCGGTGAGAAACTTCTCTTTAAAATCAATTTCCATGGCTCAATGAGCTCTCTAAGGTGGCTCAAGGGTAGTAACTTAGGGGTTCAAAGCAGTCACAATTTTTGGTTCATTTCTGGTTGTTTTTTTTATGTGGGCCCCTGTTGAGTTGGGACTCTTTCCCCCTCCTACATGGGCAGAAAGATCAGTCATTCTCTTTTCTCTCTAGTGAAGCAGAGGAGAGCAGTAAGATCCGTGCTCCCACTACCATGAAGAAATTTGAAGATTCTGAAAAGGCCAAGAAACCTGTGAGATCAATGATTGAAACACGGGGGGAAAAGCCCAAAGAAAAAGCAAAAAACAGCAAAAAAAAGGGAGCCAAAAAGGAAGGTTTGTTTAGGCTTTTTGAACATGCTGGGGTGTGAAAAGTGTTAATGTGGTGGAGAAGTATGAGGGGCTCCTTTTGCTACTGCTTGTGTCCTTCAGCTCAAATGCTCACCTTTCTATTGTCCCCAGGCCTTGTTGATTTCCAAGGTATTTGGTTCAAAAGTTTGCTCTTAAGAATTTGGAAGAAGTCTTAAGAATTGTCTGGTTGGCCAGAATCTGGGTTTCTCTCCAGTGATGTTTCTCGTAACAGGTTCTGATGGCCCTTTGGCTACCAGCAAAACAGCCCCTGCAGAAAAGTTAGGTCTCCCACTGGGGTCTGAGAATGGAGAACTTTCCAAAGAGGAGCTGATACGAAGGAAGCGAGAGGAGTTCATTCAGAAGCACGGGAAGGGTCTGGACAAATCCAGGTGAGCAATCTTTTATCACTTCTCTCTGGTGACTGTTACAGAGTTGTGTTGGGGGCCAGGGAGCTGTGCTTGGCTTAGTTCTTTTCTACCCTAACCCTTTGTCACACAGCAAGTCCACAAAGTCAGATGTTCCAAAGGAGAAAGGCAAAAAAGCACCTCGGGTGTGGGAACTAGGTGGCTGTGCTAACAAGGAAGTCTTGGATTATAGTACTCCCACCACCAACGGAACCCCGGAGGCTGCCCTGTCTGAGGACATCAATTTGGTAAGAGGCATACAGCCAGAATAAAGATTACTAGAGAGTTGAAAAATATACCAGAATTTGAGAGTATAAACTACACTTAGTTTCTCCAAATCAGACATAGCAATGTTCCTGATCCCACCTCCTTCCTTTCCCCATGTCATCCAGATTCGAGGAACTGGGCCTGGGGGGCAGCTTCAAGATCTGGATTGCAGCAGCTCAGATGATGAAGGGACCACTCAAAACTCCACTAAACTTAGGTAGAGGGGGATTTCAGATGGAAGGTGGCGTGGATGGCTGCAGAATTGATGAACCATATATACCTCCTGCCTGTTGGCTTTATGTGTATTTGTTATCTTCTGTGCTTGTAGTGCTACCAAAGGGACTCTGGGTGGCATGTTTGGGATGCTGAAGGGCCTTGTGGGTTCCAAGAATTTGAGTCGTGAAGACATGGAATCTGTGCTGGACAAGATGCGCGATCATCTCATTGGTAAGATCTGAGGACAATAGGTTAACTTGTGTTTGTGGAGTAGAGGTGATTAGGAACAGAATCTACTTTCTGAGCTGAACCTTAAAGTACTCACACTTGTCCTCTTCTCAGCTAAGAATGTGGCTGCAGATATTGCTGTCCAACTCTGTGACTCTGTTGCCAACAAGTTGGAAGGGAAAGTGATGGGGACCTTTAGCAGTAAGTATCTCCTTAAGTCACGAAGTGCATATGCATGCCAGAGGTGAAACACTCAGACTATCATTCCTCTTGGGTATGTGCCGTTTGGCAAACTCCTTAATTTCTAAGCCTCTATTATGTAACCTAGATTTTAGGACTTTATTTGGATTAGGGCGATTAAATGAGTCAATACTTTTATTAAAGTGCTTAGAACAATATAGTCTGAATTCCTGGAAAAGAACCTAGTATGGTCTCAGTTCCCTTAGCTCCAAAAGATGTTGGGTATTTTTTAATACAGTGTTTGGTTTCATCACTGTGTCCCTCCATCTCCCTTGTAAGCGGTGACTTCCACAGTCAAGCAAGCGCTACAGGAGTCCCTGGTACAGATTCTGCAGCCACAGCGTCGTGTAGACATGCTCCGGGATATCATGGATGCTCAGCGTCGCCAGCGCCCTTATGTTGTCACCTTCTGTGGTGTTAACGGAGTGGGGAAATCTACTAATCTTGCCAAGGTCAGCACAGCTCTCTAGCCTGCTGCCTGTAACTTTCTGTATTTCAGGATCTTGGTGCTAGGTAACGGTTTTCTTAACTGTTCTGCAGATTTCCTTCTGGCTTTTAGAGAATGGCTTCAGTGTTCTCATTGCTGCCTGTGATACTTTCCGTGCTGGGGCTGTTGAGCAGCTTCGTACACACACCCGGCGTCTGACAGCCCTACACCCTCCTGAGAAGCATGATGGCCGCACGATGGTGCAGTTATTTGAAAAGGGCTATGGCAAGGATGCTGCTGGCATTGCCATGGAAGCCATTGCCTTTGGTACAGTGCATGGGGAGTGGAGTGTGGGGCCTTTTCCTCCTTGTAGTCCCTAGGAATTTGCAATCAGATTCACACTACTGTTAACTTAACACTCAGTAAAAGTCAGGGTGTTCTGCTTTTGGGTGGTAATGGTTAATGTTTATAGCAAGCTAGCATATTCTTACCATAGACCTAAATGTGGTCACCTTTATCCTATTTCCGTTCTTTCCCAGAACATTTTTGGTGGTAGCCAAGAATAGGACATGTTTTTCCTCATATTATACCTTGTAACCAAATCCAGAGCCTGGGTAAGTAAACAAGATAGGCTTTTCACATAGCTAGATTAGGACATCTTGAGAAGCTGGCAGCAAACACAAGTGACAGTTGGGTGGCTTTTCACATAGCCAGAGTAGGACATCTTGAGAAGTAGGCAGTGAGCACTGACTGTTTTTCTCTCTCCAGCACGTAACCAAGGCTTTGATGTGGTGCTGGTGGACACAGCTGGCCGAATGCAAGACAATGCCCCTCTGATGACTGCCCTGGCAAAACTCATTACTGTCAATACACCTGACTTGGTGCTGTTTGTTGGGGAGGCCTTGGTTGGCAATGAAGCCGTGGACCAGCTGGTGAGGGCTTGGGCCTAGTTCCCTTCACTCTTAAACTTTGGTAAATTAGATGTGCTCTTATGTCAACTTTTCCCCTTCCAGGTCAAATTCAACAGAGCCTTGGCTGACCATTCTATGGCTCAAACACCTCGGCTCATTGATGGCATTGTTCTTACCAAGTTTGACACCATTGATGACAAGGTAAAAGGTGGATGGCAGGATCCTGAGACTGGAAGGAGGCATGGGCTTCTTTTCACTAAAAGTCTTTCCTTATAAAGGGGGCTTGAGCTGATTTACCACCCTCTTTCTCTGCTTCAGGTGGGAGCTGCTATTTCTATGACATATATCACAAGCAAACCCATCGTCTTTGTGGGCACTGGCCAGACCTACTGTGACCTTCGCAGTCTCAACGCCAAGGCCGTGGTGGCTGCCCTCATGAAGGCTTAACATGGCTCTTGCCTAATACCAAATCGTTGCTTGCCCTAAGCCCCCGTTCCCTGTCAAGAATGTGCTGTAGAGTATGTGAGCAACTTTATCTTCAGTGTAATAAAAAAGCAGAGTGAGGGGAGCTCTGGGGATTTGCAGCCCCTCCTAACTCTACTCCATGTTCAGCCCCACCTCCTTCTGCAAGGAGGACCTAATCATGTTACAATCACTGCCTAATGACCCTCCCTTATCAACAGGAGCCTCCCTCTTTTTACTCAGGCATCCCCTTCACTCTGCCTACAGACTTAAGTCTTGTAGCTTTGACCAATGGTTGGAAGACCCAACACCTAAGTATTGCTAATTAGTGTGATCAAGAACCACCTGAATTAAGGAGCAGTTTGAACTCCCAGCTCCACTGTGTAAGAGACTTCCAGAGCCAGCTCTGAGTCTTGAATGGCACCTCTCTAGAGTACATAGCTTTCAAGTCCCTGGTGCCAGGATGATAGCCACCTCACTGTGGCCCATTCTTAATTGCTGCTAGTTCTAAATCTGATGATGACCCTTGCCCTATTATTGCCCCAAAGCATCAGCTAGGCCTTGTTACAAAATGAAAGGTGAACCCCACTCTTCCCTTAAAACAAAGGGAGCTAAGCTGCAGTGTCACATTGGACTTCTCAGCCTTCCAACTCCTCCCAGCTCCCAGAATCCAGATGTAAGCTTTGCATGTTCAACTTCCTGGGAGAAAACCAACAGTCAGAAGGGTATCTGTTGTCCCATGCCCCAGCCCATTCCTGGCCTCCTGAGCAGGTCCCTGGCTTTTCCTCATCCTCTTCTACAGTGCCTGGTAGACAAGTGCTATGTTGAAGAATACAAATCTCTTGTTAAAGACTTGTCCTGTAGTTTGGTATTACAGATGTGTTATTAGTGCAATAAGGTGAAGGCTGTCTGCCCAGAGAAATACATAATTTATATAAGAAAATAAATTTCATAAATAAACTGCCTCTGTTCCGTAACTTACTTTATATAGGATTTTAAACTAAACACACTAGTTTTAGAGCTTTCTCAGGGTAGGAAGGGCAAAGCAGGAACTGGTAGTGCTGAGGAATTGGGTGAATGGTTGTCCTGAGAATGTAATCACCCTAAGGTGAAAGACTGTTTAGACTTAAAATTAGGTGGTTTAGTTTCTACAGTGACTCTTCAAAGAGCCAGGGCCCTGTCAAGTAAATGAACAAGCTTTTAATACAGCTCAGTTATGTAAAATACTGTACACTGTAAAAGATCTAGAAAACTAGAGCTTCGAGTCATGTTTTAAAAAAACCGTTAAGCTTAATTGAAAAACCAAGTAGAGTACAAAACTGCAACAAGAGCCCACTGACCCCATGACTTATAGTTCCCCAAGTCCTTCTGCAGAGCTGCAGCCAGAGCCAGAGCCATCACATAGGTCTGCTCTGTGGACACAAGCATGTCCAGCCTGTGGGGTAGGTGGGGGCTGCACTGAGTCCTGATGTCACTGGCTATTAAACTGGACCAGTCAGCAGAGTATCAAGAAACAGCCGGCATGAAGGGAAAGGTGGAACACTGCCACCCCTATTCTACCCCAAACTTCAGCTTCTGGGTACTCCTGGGAGCTGTGCTGAGTTCTTGTTAAGTTTGCTTTTTAAACACTGCACAGGAAGGCCTTACAGCATGGTCTGATGGTGGTAGTTTCTCCAGCTCATTCAGGTACTACAGCCTATGAAGAGAAAGAAGAATGAAAGGAAGTTTCACAAAACAAGTTTCACGCATCTAAAAGCTGCAGGGCACCAGTCAGCCCCAACTCTTCAGAAAGCAAACTTTCTTTTGGGGTCTTTTTGAGACAGGGTCTCCCTGTAGCCCCAGCTGACCTGGAACTCGCTATGAAGACCAGGCTAGCCTTGAACTCACAGGGATCTGCCTGCCTCTGCCTCCCAAGTGCTGGGATTAAAGGCGTGTGACACCACACCAGGCCCCAGAAAGCAGACTCTTAAGAATCTTCAAATAGGTGGAGAGGTACATCATGATTTTCCACAGTCTTAAGTTTTGGGAAATTTTCTCACTGACAAAACACAATAGGAATTAGTGTACCTCTTATTTCACTGTGTGTTGCAGATGAACCATTTAGCTGGCCTTCTCTCGGCATCCCTGCTAAGAATAACAGTATTAGGCATTAGACGGAAAAGTGAAATTTTTTAAAAAGACATTTTGTGTGTGTATGTCTTAGGAAGGGGTGCATGTGTGGAGGTCAGGACAAGTTGGTTCTCTCTTTCCACTGTGTGGGTTAGAACTCGGCTCCTTAAGCTTGGTGGTAAATGCCTTTACCCATAGCCATCTTGGGTAAAGGCAGACCTTGGAAGAGCTAAAACTTAAAGGCAGAAATGAAAACTTAAGGTATTTAAGGGCACATGGTATGACTAAGGCATTTTGGGAACTGGAGAGATTGCTTAGCAGTTAAGAGCAATGGCTGCTCTTGCAGAGGACTCAGGTTTGTTTCCTAGCACCTACATGGCAGCTAACAAACAGCCTGCAACTGCAGTTCCAAGGGATCGGATACCCTCTTCTGACTTCCACAGGCACTGTATGACATAGGTACACTTACATGCAGGCAATACATATAAAATAACAAAAATTTTTAAAAAAATGATTTTTTATGTGTATGAGTGTTTTGCCTGCATGTACTTAAGTGGCATAGGATCCCCTGGACCTGGAGTTAGACAGTTGTTAGCTGCCACATGGGTACTGGAAACTGAATCTGGGTCCTCTGCAAGAGCAGTCTTAACACTGAGCCATCCCTCTAGCACCCCTTGATTTCCTTTTATCTTGTATCTACTGACTCAAAAGCATAATACGTGATGAAAAGCTTGACTCATCTCAAAATGAAATGCATATAAAAGTACCCTGCTAGATTTGAAATTACCCAACATATTATTTCAAGAGCCCCATAGCTGTACAGAAAATTCTTGATTCAAAAATAAACAGAATGACTTGATAACCAAGGAAACCCACTCTAGAAAGTCTGAATTTCTGCAAATAGAGCATGATGATGTATGTTTACAATTCCAGTAACCTGAGAGGCTGAGACAGGACTGAGAATTTGAGGCTAACATGGGATAGAGACATCATGTCTCAAAAAAGCATAAACAAAACCAACCAACCAACAAAAGTCCCAGGTTCAGCAATATAGACTGTGACCAACAGCAGGAAAATTTCTTTAGAACTAGATAGGTGAGTCAGAATGGCTATATCCTGTGTGCTGGATAGCTTTATTGTCAACTTGACACACCTGGGTTGAGGGAGCCTCAATTGGGGAACTGTCTCCATAGGACTGGCCTATGGCCATGTCTGTGAGGCATCTTCTTGATTGCTGAGTGATGTGGGAGGGCCCAGGCCACTGTGGGTGGTGCTACCCCTGGGCAGGTGGGCCTGTGTTGCATAAGAAAGCAGGCTGAGCAGGTACTGGGGAGCAGGCCAGTAAGCAGTGTTCCTCTATGGCCTGTGCTCCAGCTCCTGTCTCCAGGTTCCTGCCCTGAGTTCCTATTGTGGCCTCTCTCAGTGATGAACTGTGACCCAGGAGATGTAAGATAAATAAACCCTTTCTTCCCCACGTTGGTAGTGGTCAAAGTGTTTTGCCACAGAAATGGAGAAACAAACTAGGACACCCTGGAACTGGCTTCATCCACTTTTATTTACTATTTATTTATTTGTAATTTATTTTCAGGTTAAAAACATTTTTTTTACATTTATTTATTTATTTAGTCTTTTTGAGCCAGGGTCTCCCTGTGGCCTCAGCTGGCCTGGCACTCATTATGTAGACCAGGCTGGCCTCAATTTCACAGAGATCCGCCAGCCTCTGCCTCCAAAGTGCTGGGACTAAAGGCGTGCACCACCACATCTGGCATTTACATTTTATTTTAAAGCTGAGGTCTTGCTATGTTGCTCTGAGATCCTGAACCCATGGGACAGAGCCATGTTTCCTATTCAGCCTTCTAATAGTTGGGAGTATAGGAATGCACCACATCCACTTCAATGTGAAGTTTTTTTAAAAAAAATATTATTTTTATTTTCATGTGTATGAGTGTATTGCCTGCATGTATGTGAGTGCACCCATGTCGTGCAATGTGCAGAGGTCAGAGGAGGGCTTCGGATTCCTCTGGAGTTAAGGACGGCTTGTAGCCACCATGTAGGTGTTGGAAATTGAATCCGGGTCCTCTGCAAGAGCAGTCAGTACTCTTAACTGTTGAGCCATCTCTCCAGCCCCCCCCCTTTTTTATTTTATCATTTTTATTTTATGTGTATGAGTGTATTGCCTGTGTATGTGAGTGCACCCATATCGTGCAATGCTGTGGAGGTCAGAAGAGGGCTTTGGATTCCTCTGGAATTTGAGGATGGTTTGTAGCCGCCATCTGGGTGCTGGACATCAAACCCGGGTCCTCTGCAAGAGCAGTCAGTGCTCTTAACCACTCAGCCATCTCTCTAGCCCCTCAATGTGAAGTTTTTAAAAAGCATTCTTCTATTTAGCTTGCATAAAAATGTTTGCCACACAAGAGGCCCTAGGCTCAATCTTCAGCACTGCACAAACAATAAACTGACTGGGAAGATGGCTCAGTGGGTAAATGTGCTTGCTGTGAAAACAAGAGGACCTGAGTTCAAATCCCCAGCATGCACCTAAAAGCTGCAAGCAGGGCCAGTGAAATAGCTCAGTGGGATAGGCACCTGCTGCTAAGCCTTACTACCCAAGTTTAATCCCTAGAATCTACAAAGGTGGAAGAGAGAACTGACTTTCAGGTTGTCCACTGAGTCCACACACAGCTCCTCCACTCCCACCCTCCATGAGCTTATGTACACACAGAATAAATAAAATGTGAAAAACAATGACAATAACAACAAAAAAACCCTATAAAGCCAAACATGATGGCCTGTAATTCCAACAGTCAGGAAGTGGGAAGCTTATGAGTTCAGGCCAATCTGGGCTTTATAATGAGATTCTACTTCAGAAAAATAAATAGGGACTAGAGAGATGGCTCAGTGGTTAAGAGCACTGGCTGCTCTTTCAGAAGATCAGGGTTTGATTTCCAGCACTCACAGCAACTATCCTAACTCCAGTTCCAGGGGAATCCAACACTTTCTTCTGACCTCTTTGAGCACTGAATGACACAGGTACACTTACACACATTTGGGCAATATACTCACATACACAGAATAAATACAAATTAAATTAAAACCCAAAATAGAAGGCTGAACACAGCTTAAGTACTACTGAATAAAGCAAATTTAGTAAGCATCATTCCAAGATACTTCTCCAGACACAATCTACCTACAATTTTATATTTATTAGATCATGTGCTATTTGCAAATGTGTTGTTTCTCCTGCTCATGTCTTTGGCATTTTTCCCCCCCTCTACATTTGAGACAGTGTCTCACTATATAACCTAGGCTGTCCTCAGACTTTCCACCCAATTGCCTCAGTTTCCTGAGTGCTAGGATTATAGGCACATGCCACAGCATCCTCAGTCTCACATCATCTTATGGATTCATTGTAGTTCATCACTTAATAAATGCTGGTGTATTTATAGTCTCTATTACCGATGAGGACATTTTATTTTATTTTTAAAATTTATTTTTGGCCAGGCATGGTGGCGCACACCTTTAATCCCAGCACTTGGGAGGCAGAGGCAGGTGGATCTCTGTGAGTTCAAGGCCAGCCTGGTCTACATAGTAAGTTCCAGGACAGCTGGGGCTACAGGAAGACCCTGTCTCAAAAAGACGAAAAAAAAATTATTTTCAGCTTGGTCTACATAGTGAATTCGAGGCCAGCTGGTGCTATAGGGAGAACCTGTCTCAAAAAAAGACCAATAATAAAATAAATTTATTTTATGTGTATTGCCTGCCTATGTGTAAGTGCACCTGTATCATAAAATGCCCATGGAGGTCAGAAGAGGACATGAGATTCCCCTGGAACTGGAGTCAAGGATGGTGGTTAGCTACTATGTAGGTTCTGGGACTCACACTTGGGTCCTCTGCAAGAGCAGCCAGTATGCTTAACTGCTGAGCCATCTTTCCAGGCCCTGATTAGGACATTTTAGATGCCCACCTTCTAATCTTTTGCCATTTTATATACAGCACAGGTTATTTTCACACTAGGTATCTTTCTTTGGTCTGAGATCAGGTTTATCTACGTTGCTCAGGCTGGCCTGGAACCTGCTATGTGGCCCAGGCTGGCCTTGAACTTTGATTCTCCTGCCTTAGCCTGAGTGCTCAGATTATAGGTGCATACCACACAATCACCCAAATATTTCCTTAGGAGAACTTTCTTCTAGGATAAATTATACTGGTAGAATTTCTGGGTCAAATTTTTACCAAAGCTGAGTGACTGTTTCTATTTTGAAATCTGAATTCTAATTGCATCTTACCTGAAGCTAAGCCACCTTTAAAAAAGTTTTTTAAAAGATTTGAAATATAAGTGCATGCCACTTGAATGTGGGTGCCCCAGGAACTGGAATTATCTGAGTCACCTGATGTGAGTGTGAACTTGAGTCCTCTCTGGAAGTCCTCTCAGTGCTCTTAATCACTGAGCCATCTCTCTAGCCCCCGCCATTAAAAAAAAAGTGTGTATGTGACATGTATGTGTGGGTGAGACGCATGTGTGGAGGTCAGAGGACAATTTTTGGGAGCAGGCTCTCTTCCACAAGTGGTTCAGGAGAGCTAACTCAGGTAGTCAGGCTTGAGTGCTAAGGGCTTTTACCTGCTCAGCTATCTCGCTGGCCAAAGCTAAGCATCTTTATGTGCTTTTTTTGTTGTTGTTGTTCCTGTGTATATAATGAATTGCAAGACCAAGTCTTATGCCCATTATCTGATTATCTAATCATAGCTTAGTCTAACCTGAAGACCTGACACTTCCCCCCTCTGCCCTCCCCTCCTCTTCACAAATCTGGTCAGGCACCACACATTCCTCATGTTGGTAGTGATTTTATCCATCACAAACACAAAAAGCCAAAGGACTGTTGCTGTCTGCACCACCCCCTCTTCACCTTACCTGATCTGCCCCTTGTAGAGATCTCACATGTCAGTCGTTTGAAATATTCGGGAAGATCAGCATAGTCATTTCCATAGGAGATGACCTTAATCCCCTTGTCTAGCATGTTTTCTCGAAGCTTCTGGAACTCATCTACATCTCCTCTCCGAACCAGCATGAAATGTTCCAGGTCAGATTTATGCTTGACAGCCTCTAGGAACAGGGCCTGGAAAGTGGTGTCATCTACTGTCCAGCCACAACCCAAGAAAAGGAATGACTTGTTTTCATAGAGTTTCTGAATCTCTCTCTTAAAGGGAAAGAAACAACATATTAATGACACTGAAGACATGGCTAAAGCAAAAAGGTCAATAGTTCAAACATAACTGCTACATAGCAGGCTGTGATGACTAACTGACCAAGATTTAAGAGGGGAAAGATGACATCACATGAAGGATACAAGAGTTTGATCTCCTGATTATTACTACAACTTGATGCTTGTTCTGAAATTTTATCTTTACCTGACATTCTTTTGAAGGTTCTCTTTCTGTCCCCCCCCCCCTTTTCTATGAACCAATGAATTTTTTGGGCTTACTTAGAGCATAGTGAGAAGTTACTTATGGAAGCATGGACATTACCTGATCATGGATGACAACCTCATCAAAACTGAATGCAGTTCCCCTTTCAGTTTAACTTACACTTCTTGTAAGTATCTTCCAATCACTGGGAATGGGGCAAGTGTAGCAATAGCTAGCATCCCAGGTAAGGTTCCTGCAACTGGACCCTCCCCGCTTTTACTGGAGTGTCAGTAGTTCCTTTGCCATAATCGTAGATCTAGCTACCTTTGCTCTGTTCACCTCAATTGCCATGGCTACTGGGTCAAGGTAATCTTTACTTAAAGATTAGGCTGCTCATGTTATGAGGGAGCAAAAACGTACTACAAAAATGCTTACAAAAGTTGTATAAGAAGTATTATTCCTTTTTTAAAAAATATTTTATTATTTTTATTTTACGTGTATGAGTGCATTGTCTGCATGTATGAAAGTGCACCTGTGTCATGCAATGCCCATGGAGTTCAGAACAGGGTGTCAGATCCCCTGGAAGTGGAGTTATAGACTGTTGTTAATCACCCATGTGGGTGCTGGGAGTCAACTTGGGTCCTCTGCAAGAGCAGTCAGTGCTCTTAACCGCTGAGCATCTCTCCAGTGCTCCTTTTCTTTTCTCTTCTTTTTTTTTTCAGTGACTTAAAAAAAATTTTTTTGTGTGTATTTCATACAGAACATCCCAAACAATCTCATTCATCTTTATACCTGCATCACAAATGGCACCCTCCCATAGCCTTCCCCCTCCCGCCACTGGAGCCCATATACCATCATCCTTGTTACTGTCCACTGTGTTATCAGTGCCCCCAGTCGTTCCCCAGTGCAAGTCCCTCCTCTGAGTCTAGTCAGCCTATCTAGAGTCCCTTGTTTTAGGAAGATCGGCTCCTCCTCATCTAGCAGCAATCAGTTGCCAACATTCCTTTAGGTAAGACTGGGGCCTGCTGTTCATTTTCCCAGTTCTATACTGGGTTACTGTCTGGGAGTCTCCTGGGATACCCTGGCCAACAACTCAAAGGAAGGTATCTTCTCCTGTCTGGCATTGTTTCTTGTATACACATGGACTCTTAAAGAAATATACTGATCACTTTAATCTTTGGTTATACTTTCCTTTTGGGTGTTTAAGATCATACAGTTGACCCAAATAAACCAATTTATTTTTACTCTTAAGGTTGTTTGAGGATTTGTTCCTCAGGGGTTACATGGGCTTGGGAAGAGTCACTGGCTCCTTTCTTTTATCAGTACCATCTATGTGAAGACAAGTCAAAGGTCCTCCTTGACTGTGGCTAGCTTCACTTAGAAGCATGGAGGAAATGTTCCCTATGTGTTGACCCTCCTCTTTGTAGACTGCACACTGGTTCAAGTCCATCTGGTGGGGTCTCCATGGCCTCCCTGAACAAGAGGACAGGTGACTCACCACAGTTAAATAACACTTTGAGAGATAAGGTTCTTAAAAAAAAAGGGGGTGGGGGGAATGCAGGCTCAGTGGTTAAGAACATTGGCTGTTCTTGCATAAGACTGGGGTTTTTTTTGTTTTTTTTTTTTCTCAGCACTTACATGGCAGCTAACAACCGTCTATAACTCCAGTTCCACGGGAATCAAATGCCCTCTTCTGACCTCCATGGGCATTGCATGACATGGGTGCACTTAGACACATGCAGGTAATACACTCATACATATAAAACAAAAATAAAGCTAAAACAACAACAACAAAAAAAAAAAAAAACAAAAAAAACAGAGATTGCCAGGTATGGTGATACACACTTTTAATCCCAGAACTCAGGCGGTAGAGGCAGGTGATATCTGAGTTCTAGGCCAGTCTGCTCTACACAGCAAGTTCCAGGCTAACTAGGACTAGAGACCAGGTTTTAAAAAAAAATTAGTATGTGTGTGTACATGATGTGCTCATGGGTATGTGTGCCACGAAGCATGTGAAGAAGTCAGTAAACAAGTTTGTCAAGTCTGTCCATTCTCTCTTTTCACGTAAAGGGTTCATTGAACTCAGGTTGCCAGGCTTGCATGCCAAGTGCCTTTTCCCACTGTGCCACCTTGCCAGTCTTCTGTGGGGTCTCTAATTGGTTTCACATCATTGGCACTGGTCTACTGCTCTTGTAGTTTTATTTTTTAAGATTTATGCTCTTAGAGGTAATTCAAGAGCCAGTGGATCTTTGATATATCTTATACTTTAAGACCTTTTGGACCAAATTTGCCAGTTTTTAATTATTATTTGTTTTTTTAAGTGTGTGTGATATGCATGCATGTGTACGCATGGGGGCACACATGCATGTGGAAGCCAGAGGTTAATCTTGGGTGTCTTTCTCAATTGCTTTCCACTTTATATACTGAGGCAGGGTCTCTCACTTGAACTCAGAGCTCAGAGATTCAGCTAGTTTAACTAGCTAGCTAGTCTTTAGGATACCCTGTCTCTACCTCCTGAGTGCTAGGATTATAGATGTGTGCCACTGTCCTGGTATTTAAACAGTATTGGGGGTAGAACCAAGGTGTTCATACTTGTGTAATAAATGCTTTACCCACTGAGTCATTGCCTCAGCCCCCACATTTGCCCTTTTCTTTGCCTTACAAACTAAAAAGATAATTCCATCATTAAATATGCCCAAAGAAAGTCTTGATTACTTAAAATATTGTTGTATATGCATTTATGTGTGCATATATGCTAAAATGTAATACAGAAATATAAAAACATCAGAAATGACTTTACCTAAAGGAACACTCAGTATCAGAAATGAATACAGTAACAGCAGATGTCAGGGAAGGATAAATTCCTTTATTCTTCAGAAAGCATCATATTTTCTGGTCTTTCTCTGGCTCTGCCCTGTAAAGATTCTATGTGATGCAATCATGAAACAGTTGGCACCAAGCTGGGGGCCAGTGGATTCTGCTAAATGTCCCAGACCAAGAAGTGTTTCTGGTTTAAACATGTACATGTGAACAAGTCCAAAACTTCAACCCCAAAGATCAGCCAATTCAAAGAAGAAAATCTTCATTTACAAAACTAATCACTTTCCCCCCCAATTTTCCAACTAAGTAGTTAAGTGTGAATAAAAGTCTAATCTTTTTATATTTGTAGCTGATTTTTAAAAAGCAGCCTGAAGTATTTTGGACATAAGTGTTAGTAAGAAACCAAACAGGTGGTGGCACACACCTTTAATCCCAATACCTGGGAGGCAGAGGCAGGCAGATCTCTGTGAGAGTGATGCCAGCCTTGTCTACATAGTGAGCTCCAAACTAGTTGTCTCAAAAAAACAAAAACAAAACCAGAAACAAAAAAAGACCAAAGAAACCAAACGATGAAGTGGAGGACTGATGTATTCTTTATATGTAAGATAATGCCCATGAGGGAGTACTGTGCTGTCCACTGGCTGTTCATCAAGCACAAATGAAGACCCTATGATCTAATACCTGAAGCCAGTGCTGCATTGCCTAGGAAGGCTCAGACACCCATGAGCTAAGAGACAAAAGAAACAGGGTCTAACTTTTTAATTTTTTTGATTAATGAAAGAAAATGTTCCTCCTTTAGGACCTATAGCATGCTCAGGATGTCTTCAGGAAGAGGTTCCTGAGCTCACCTACATCAGCACTACTCACCATAACTTCAGTGTTTCTGAGGACATTCTGATATCCAGCTGGATGGAGGACAATGCCACTAGGGTTAGTGTAGACCCCATGGATATGTAACACACTCAGCTTCCGCTTCTCCTGAGCCCACTCCAGGACCTGTACAACACATACACAGCTTGACTAGGATGGCAGATTGACAGGCTTCAAAGTCACAATATCAAAGAGGCCACCTGAGGATCAGACATCTGCCATAATTCTCCAGTTTTACAGTATTATAGGACAAGAATGCAAAAACCTGATGTGGCCCAAGTTTCTAGATGGCATGACTATCAGGAACGATCTAGTGACTTCTTTATGAAAGTGGCCCAAGTTTCTAGAAGGTAAGACTATCAGAATGATGGCAGAGATCTAGTGACTTCTTTATGAAAGTAACCTCCAGAAATGACAATTTGTCACCATCTGCAGAACAACATGGACCCTTTACACTGGTGATAAAACTTCAGAGCTCTGCTTACTACTCTGATGGTGGCCCAGGCCCTGGTGTAATTCTTTTCTCAGTGACTCCAGGCTGGCCACATGGCTTGCTATAGCCAATGGGCATTAGCAAACAGGACACGAGCAGAAGCACACTATGGCTTCTACTCCTTCCTTCCCTTCCCTCCCTCCCTTCCCTTTTCTTCCTTCTTTCCTTCCTTCTCCTTTTCTTTCTCTCTCCCTCGCCCTCCTTCCTTTCTCCTCCTTCCTCCCTCCCTCCCTCCCTCATTATTTTACTCAAGCTGGCCTTAAACTTTCAATCCTTCCACCTCAGCATCCAGAGTACTGGAACTACAGGACTGCAAAACCACACCTGGCTTAATTCCCTTTTACTTTTTATTTATTAATTAATTTATTTATTTTTAATGTTTTCTTTCATTATTTTTTAATTTTATATGTACGAGAGGATTGTCTGCATGTATGTGAGTGCACCTGTGTCATGCAATACCGTGGAGGTCAGAGGGCTTCGAATTCCCTCAGAACTGGAGTTAAGGACGGTTCATAGCCGCCATGTGGGTGGTTGGGAATCAAACCCAGGTCCTCTGGAAGAGCAGTCAAGTGCCTTAACCACTGAGCCATCTCTCCAGCCCCTACTTTTTATTATTTTTATTTTATGTGTTTGAATGTTTTGTCTACATGTAGGTGAGTATACCACATGCATGCAATGTCTGCAGAAACCACAAGAGGGCGTCAGATCCCCCAGAACTGGTGTTATAGGTGTTTGTTAGCTACCATATGGATGCTGTGAACCAAACTGAGGTCCTCTGCAAGAGTAGCTAGTGCTCTTAACCACTGAGCTATTGCTCCAGCCCCACAATTCCTTTTAAAAATTTGGCTCTACATTACCAAAACCAGAGTGGAATAACAGCTACTACTCTGACTGAGGCAAAGACTGTGGCAATGAAGAATCACTGATCTATTTAGACTATTTAACTGGGCTCTAAGCTGGACTCAAAGGCAGGTTCCAGATTAAACAAAACAGATTGAAAATTACAAAATCACAGAGCAGGGCGAATGACCTTAAGAATGCATATGATTAGCAGCATCTTTAATTAGTTAACTAATTTATTTACTCTCCTCTCTCCTTCCCTCTCTCCAATCTACCTCCTACTTCTCCCTACCACCATGCCTGACTTTTTTTTTTTTTTCAAACATGGGTTCTGGGGGTATAACTCAGGACTTTATGCTTGCATAGCAAGTACTTTTATCAACTGACTCAGCTGCCTCAAACAACTTCTAATCTCAGTGGTTTTTTTCGTCTTTTTGAGACAGGGTCTCCCTGTAGCCCCAGCTGTCCTGGAACTCACTGTGTAGACCAGGCTGGCCTTGAACTCAGAGATCCGCCTGCCTCTGCCTCCCAAGTGCGGGGATTAAAGGCGTGTGCCACCACGGCTTTTAAAACCAGGAAAAACTGTCAATAGTCAAAACTTTTAAAACCTTTGCATTTTTACTGTATACTGATTTTTACCTCAAAAACCAGCCGACCAACTCCAAAAGTACAAGCAGGGAAAAGAGGGTTCGTTTCTCATTGTTACGGTTTTTATGTAAAATATTCCTACTGGCTCAAAATTTGAAGGCTGGTCCCCAACTGGTGGTGCTATTTTGGGAGGCTGTGGAACCTTCAGGAAGTGCAGCTTACATATGGAAGTAGATTACTAGGCGCATGTCTTTGAAGTTATAGCCTGGTCCTGATCCTGCTCCATCCACTCTGTGCTTTTTGTTCCTCCACGATGAGAATTCTCCTGCAAGCTCCTACAGTCATGAAGGAAGCCTCTCCACCACGCTTCTCTCACTGTGACAGCCTAAACAGTGACCCCAAATAAGTCCTTTCCTCCCTGATGTTGCTTCTGTCAGGTATTAGAATGTGAAAAGCAATTCACTTCGGCTACATAAATACCAATATACTAACCAGAAAACAGCTTTTCTTTTGGGGGGATCTTTTTTTGAGACAGGGTCTCCCTATAGTTCCAGCTGTCCTGGAACTCACTAGGTAGACCAGGCTGGCCTCAAACTCACAGAGATCAGCTTGCCTCTGCCTCCCAAGTGCTGGGATTAAAG